TATCGATAATACTTTGATACTGACAACACATAATTATGACAAGAAAACAAATATAACTATTTTTAAAATTATATTTCAAAAAATAACATTTTATAACAAGTAACTGAAGAAATAAATTATTGATTAACATAGAAAGTTTTCAATAAATTATCTTATTCAGGATGGCACATAGAATTTTATTCTCCATTACCATCTGATGAAAACACATACAGGAGAATATCGCTAATCTGAAATAATTGGGCGGAGCACACTGTGCAGTTTAAATTACAAAAAATGCCAAGTAACCAGCAAATATTAGAGAAGGAACTTTTATTAACTCTTTTGATTTGCTAAAGATAATTTTACGCATTGTGCTGTTAAATTCACAAAAATTCCAAGTAACCAACAAACATTATAGAAGGAAATTCGCTTAACTCGTTTGATTCGTTAAAGATGATTCTATGTCCAATAAAAACAAAAAATAAGGAGCCATGAAGGATCGGTAGTTAAGGCCTTCAACTGTCAATGTGAAGGACAGGAGTTCAATCCCCAGTTAGACTTGAAGCCAATCCAACTTAAGATTGATGGGTACTAGCTTGTCTGGGAAGTATAAGTGGTCTATGCTCACATATATATATATATAGTTCAAAAAGTAGAGAAAACATGGAAAAATTGAACAGAGGAAACAGAATAATGAAAAAAAAAAGAAGAAAATTATTTAAAAAAAACCTGAAAAAAAAGAAGATATAATCTCTTAATCAGCTTACATGATTATATCTGCAAATAGGAGCTCTTTCTAATACTGTATCAATATAGCCAAAGCAAAATATATCAATACAATGAGCAGCACTCGAAAATAATTTTTTGAAAACAAAATAGAACACGTTAAGTAATAAAAATCACGTAAAAAAAAACAGAATATAAAATGAAAAGAAAAACATAACAAAACATAAAACGAAATCTATAAAGCGAGTAGTGAATTCAAATGAATTTAAACAACCTGAAAAATTTCAAAAAATTATTTAAAATGTTTTCATAATAAGATTGCCAGATTACAAAATTAATTAGAAATTTTCTTTTTGTATTTATTTATTGTACTATATATGTATATATATAAACATAGCTTGGACTGGACCAACTTACAATAAATTTCCAATTAATTTTTAATATGAAGAAATTTGCACAAGATGTGCTTACATATTTTTCAATACATATAAAATGGATTTTGAAGAGTGAATTGAATTTTAAGAAATTGAGTTAATGTCTGGAAATAAGGTGATTTAATCAGTGACAAAATAAACAATCCAAATATTCTACTCATGAAAACATTCATTCAAACAATATTGCTATGAAAAATATGCACAATGCTATGTATCAAGCTCATGAGAGCTGTCTATGTCACCTTTAAATGACATAAATTGGATCAAATTATTTAGGTTTTCAGATTAACGAGGTTGCTACTGTATATCGAATGAAAATTAAAATGCATTACATTGAGGATGTAATGCAATAAGTAAATAAATAAAATAAAGCATTTATCAAGCTTTGAACTATCAAACAAATAATGTTCAGTAGACTAGACAACAATAGGAAAATGAGAATAAATTTAAAACAGATCTTTTAGGTTAAAGCAGTAAAAATATCCCAAATTAAAAACTCATAAAAATATGAATATGAGCACTTATTTACAATAAAGGTAAAACACATTAAAAATAGAAAACTAAAAAAAAATCTAAAATTGCATGGATTAGACATATATATATATAATGTAAAGAAATAGATTTAAAAATTCTTTCTTAATAAATTGGTGGATCCAATAAAAGTTATTGAATGTTTTAGTTGATAAAATCATTAATACCACATGACATGTGCTTAAAAATGCATACACATTTGAAATGTTTCAGCAATCATAAAACACACCAGGACTAGAAAATTACATTGCCTCACATGCTTGGAATGTGCAAAAATTCCGTTCGGGTACACACTTTCATGTTGGCCATATGAATATTTAATCAGAAGCACACCAAAATAGTGATTAAGCACTCTTTGCCAAAATTTTGATATTAAATAAAAATTTAGAATACAAAGTTATCATATTATATTTTTTAGTCATAATGATTTCTACGGGTGCCCTTTGCTGTGTATAAAAAATTAGTAAATATATAAGTTTAAGTTGAAATGTGGAAACAAACACAGGGGTGTTGTCATTCTAATAACAACTCAACATCTGCTTTGCATCTTTTAATAAAATTTGAAAATGTTAGAGAAAGTTAATTTTTTTGTTTTTTTATTACAGGGTGCGTAGTCATATTTTTCAACAAAAAATAAGCACCTTTTAAGCACTCAAAAAATCTTTTTAATCACTTTTAATTCTTCTTTAGGATCTGTGCAGTAAAGAAAATTATTTTTTTCTATCGTTCAAAGTTCTTAATTTATGAGCATAAAATCAATAAAATTCAAAAATAATTTTACAAATTTCACATAATCATGATAAAATAACAAGTTTCTGATAAATATTGCAGAGAAAATTGTGAAAATCATGAATTTTTTTGTAACTGAGAGCGATAATTGACAAGGCAAAGAAAAAATCCCTTTTTAAAAGATAGAAAATTAAGCACTTTTTATAAACCCCAAAGAATGAAAAAAGCATCTTTAAGGACTTTTAAAAAGTGTAAATAAAAAATAAGCACCTTAAGCACTTTTTAAAAATGCTATGCACCCCGTATTAGTAAGTTTTTTTTTTAAATCCATTACTTAATATTACTTCTACAAAAAATATTTTATTCTTTTTTTTTTGGTTAAGTGTAAAGGATTATGATTTAATAAGTTACATTAAATGAATAGTTATATTCATTTTTCTTAAAAAATTTTATTCATAGGCATTCAATAAAAATGTCAGCTCTCGTACAACTTTCATTCAAGCATGTACCTTACAGGCTAACCTTAAAGACTCCAACTACTACAGATTCTCTGTAGTTTCAAAAAATATTTTTCCTAGTGGAAGCAAGGGGAATGTGTTTATATTTTGATAAATTAGAATTAAAAGAATTTCATCCCCCACTAAATGCAAGTAATTTAAAAAGATACCTATAAGGTAATACAAACAAATGTTTTGAATAAAAAATTTTTAAAAATCTGTTTCAAACATAGTAGTAATACAGTCGGACCTTTATTTAACAAAGTCACTAAATCTCGATAACAAGTTCGTTACATGGAAAATTTGTCAAATAGAAAATCAAATTTTAAAATACTTAANGGTGAGTAGTCATATTTTTCAACAAAAAATAAGCATCTTTTGAGCACTCAAAAAATCTTTTTAATCACTTTTAATTCTTCTTTAGGATCTGTGCAGTAAAGAAAATTATTTTTTTCTATCGTTTAAAGTTCTTAATTTATGAGCATAAAATCAATAAAATTCAAAAGCATTTTTACAAACTTCACATAATCATGATAAAATAACAAGTTTCTGATAAATAGTGCAGGGAAAATTGTGAAAATCATGAATTTTTTTTTTGTAACTGAGAGCGACAATTGACAAGGTAAAGAAAAAATCTTTTTAAAAGATAGAAAATTAAGCATTTTTTATAAACCTCGAAGAATAAAAAAAGCATCTTTAAGGACTTTTAAAAAATGTAAATAAAAAATAAGCACCTTTAAGCACTTTTTAAAAACGCTATGCATTATATGCTATGTATTACTAAGTTGTTTTTTTTAATTCATTACTTAATACTATTTCCACAAAAAATATTTTATTCTTTCTTTTGGTTAAGTGTAAAGTATTATGATTTAATAAGTTACATTCATTTTTTTTAAAAATTTTATTCATAGGCATTCAATAAAAATGTCAGTGCTCGTACAACTTTCATTCAAGCATGTACCATGCAGGCTAACCTTAAAGACTCCAACTAGTACGGTTTCTCTGTAGTTTCAAAAAATATTTTTCCTAGTGGAAGTAAGGGAATTGTTTATATTTCGATAAATTAGAATTAAAAGAATTTCATCCCCCACTAAACGGAAATAATTTAAAAAGATACCTATAAGGTCATACAAACAAATGTTTTGAAATTTTTAAAAAAAAATCTGTTTCAAACATAGTAGTAATACAGTCGGACCTTTATTTAATGAAGTCACTAAATCTCAATAATAAGTTTGTTATACGGAAAATTTGTTAAATAGAAAATCAAGAGACATAGTAACAAAAAACATAGGTACAAAATAGGTTTTAAAGTCATAAACACTAATTAAAATAGCAATTGATACATCGCTATCTTTTAAACTAGTATCTACAATTTATTTTACATATCTTAACCATAAAAGAAATCTGCATGAAAAGCAAGAATAGAGCAAAACAATATCCAGTGTTACACTATCATGTTAAATACATTTTCAACTAAAAAAAAAATTTTTTAAAAAAAGCGAAATTCCTGTATAAAATTATATTTTTATACAGGAAAAGTGAATGTAATTTTAAACAAACAATTTTCAAAGTAATTTTAAACAAACATTACTACATGCATTCTTAAGTTTAATTTTTATGGATAAAATCTGTTATTTGGTTTGATATGCAAACAAAATGGGGAAAGGAAATTAACTGCCTTCTCTAAAATAACTTTTAGAGAAAGCAGTAAAACATTACATAAAGCAGTGGCTTCAAAAATTAATTTAAGGTCATTTCCCCTCATAAAATACATTAACAAGTTTGAAATATTTTGGAAAATAGCAAAAGTGGATCTCAATGAAAAGTTCATTAAATAGAAAATTCACTTCCCTATTTGGAAGATATTTTTCAAAGAAATTTCTAAAATGTTCTTGGTTCATTAATAAAAAATTGCAAAATAGAGAAATTCACAAAATGGAAGTTCGTTAAATAGTTTGTCCGACTGTATATTTAACGCATATGCATTTGAAAAGCACAAGTCATCTAATCAGTATTTGGAAACAAAAATCTTACAAAATTTGTACTATAAAATAGAAATTTTACATTAAATAATGATTATTTCTAATGACTAGATAATAAATAATTATGAGATAGGGTGCGCTTAGTAAAAGTTTTTTTCTTTAATGACTTATTTGGCAGGAGGAATCTAACTCGATCGTGAATTATCAGCTTCAGTTTCCACCTCTTGGGATGTTGCTGCGGACATTTTAGAGTGCTTGAATGGCCCCCTGTGCAGGTCTCTCTGAGGACCTTTTGCACGACTTTCAAATTTGGAACTCAAATTGCTAGGATCAGGACCACGGAGAAGTGAAGTATTAGGACCTTTGTAATTTTTTGGATCAGGACCAGTTGTAGGAATGTATTCTTTCCTGAAATGAAGATAAAAACATAGATATTATTACTCATACAAAAAACGTTGAAAATTATTAATAAAATAAATTAATGGAATCATAATAGGCCCCCCAATAATTTTCCGAAACTTCAGAATTTATTTAAGTTCTTTCCTTTTTTAAACTCTTAAGCAGGGTGAGTAGCCAGTAATCAACAAAAAATAAGCACTTTTTAAGCCCTCAAAAAAAATAATAATAAATTTTTTTTAAGCACTACATACATTAACAAAATGCAAAATAATTTTCAAAGACTTTACATGATCATGTTCCGACAAAGAACTTTTTTCGTAATTAAATTTCCCACCATAAAGAGATTATAAGATTTTTCAGTTCAATTTCAGAGGGTGAAAAATGAAACTAAAAATTGATAATATCTTGCAAAATGCAACAGAGTTGCACATGGGAACACAAGAATCTCACCGAACTCAGGTCAGTAGACGCATATGCGGACTCGCAAGTATTCCACCAAAAATGTAAAATGATTGGCGCTTTCATACGCTATGGACAGATGGTAGGTCGAAATGGATTGTGGTTGAATGAATTTGTGGAAAACGTTGAATAGTATTATGTGAAAAGTAGGCTTTTGTATAATATGTGGCAAAAATCGACATGGTAAAGAAAAAAATCTCATTTTCGAAAAAGAAAAATTAAGCATTTTTTAAAAACACCCAGTGAAAAAAGCACCTTTAAAAAGGCTTTTAAAAAACGAAAATAAAAAATAAGCACATTTAAGTATTTTTTTAAAATGATACGCACCATGTTTTAGACGTAGTTATTAATATAAGCAATAGTAAATTATATCATCTGTTTAGCCTTATTATTTATCAAATAATCATTCGCATTGGGGCTAAAATGTATTTTTCAAGAGATTTCAGCTATTTATGATCCGATCTATTAAACTTCTTAGGCCAAGGCCCACCCTAGGTTGTCAAGCCATTGATGATGATGATGACCAGCTCATTTATAAAATAACTTTGAAATTGTTTATTTTTCACTTTAGCGAAAATTGAAACGAATTCATCGAATAACTAAGTAAAGTATGAAATTTTTCACTGATTATATACTTTAACTGACTAGTTCATGTAACACCTAGTTATTCAATTAAATAAATTAATTATACACTTTTAAGGTAACATATACATTAATGTATTAATCAATATTATTCATAAAAAATGTATCTGACACATCACTTCTAACTGGTTATTATTTCCCAAAAAGAATGCGCATTTATGCAAATATTTAAAATAGAACTTACAAAAGCAAATTTTGACAGGGTCCTTTCCTTAGAGAAGGATCAGGCCCACGTGCTCGAGTGCGATAGACAGAAACATTTTCAAAATCGTTGCGAGTACTTGTTGCTTTTGAGAATCTGAAAAAGAAAGTTATATGCCTCTCAGAATTTTCTTCATTTCACAAAATTGTATAAAAATAACTAAGGAGACATTATACAAGGATATAAAAAAAAAGCAATTCATCACACTTTAAACATAGTTTGTCATAATTAAAAACCTTTTATTCTAAGCAAACACTAAAATCAAAAGTGACAAAAGTAACCAGACATTTTGAAAATTTTCAAAGCTAATGTATATTATAGCTTCCAACATGGATAGGAAAAAATCCAGTAGATTTTACGAAATAACACAAACTTCATGATAATTGCTGCATAGTGTACTAAATATTTTAAGGGAATTTTAGGGATTTTCATAGTCATCAAAATAGAAAAACTGCATTATTTTCCAGTTATGACAGATATTGAATATTCTTGAAATGTCATATATTATGTTTACTCATAATTTCAAAAATTAATAGGTGTTTAATTCATAAAAGGTATTTAAGACATCTAAAATTAATTTAAAAAAAGAATTCAGAATAAAAATAAACTGAACATTTTAGAACAAAACGAAAAAAAAAAAGTTTTGAGCTGTATAAATGAGGTTTGCTTCATTGTGTATGAGTATTATTTATTTAAATATTTAAGCAATAATCTGTTCAAAAATTCTATTTCAATAGGGATTTTTTAAGAAACTTGCTCAATTTTAGGAAATTTTAATTAAACCAGTAGATCTGGAAAAACTGGAAAAATCCCTTAGAGTTGGCAGCTAAGGTATATTAACAAATTATTTTTTATTCTATTTTGAAAAGAATTTTCACAAATATAAATACCGTTACAAATAAGGAATAAAAACTTTACCAGAAATTTATATTTTACAAAGGTATTTTTGGTAACTAAACTTTATTCTTACACACATAATGCATATCATTTGCTTTGTAAAATTAACATTTCATAAATTGTAGTAAATAAATAATAATTGCAGTACATAAATAATAATCGTAGTAAAAATACAGTAATAAAATGTTCATTAGTTCTAAAACTTAAATTATTGCTAAGATTTTTTTTTCTATTTTTCCAACTATAGTTTTAAAGCAAAAATTACCATAAAAAATTAACATTAAAAAAAGCTTTCAAATTTTTTTAAGCTAAAATTTTCAGTTAAAAATTAAGCTTTTAAAAATGTCATATAAAACCAACACAAACAGGGTATCAATATTTTCAAAGAAATCCATAAAATTCTAAGTTCTACATCCTCTAATTCATTATAAATTGATCAAATAAAAAGTTCTTTTTAATCTGTAACATAAATAAAATGTAATTATGAAGTATAACAAAAAAAGAATAAAGAAGCAGCAAGGATTTAAAAAACCCCACTAAAATAGACAAAATAAAAATACAAAACAAGTTTGTTAAAAATAGAAAACAGTAAAAACATGTTACAACTAATAAGTACTGAAAATAAAATAAAATAAAACTCTTCTTTTTAATTTAATTATTTATTCTAATAACAGCATGCGAAGAAAATTCATAATTTTAGTTGATGTTAGTTTAAACGTTAGTATATTATTATTTTAGTTGATGCAAATTTAGATTGCCCATACATCTTAATATTTTAGCTTAAATGCTCAAAAGATTACTTTATTGACATTCTTCGAATTTCACATAACCTTTTTCTTTAGAAGCTATTTAAAAACACAAAATATTAAAATAAAGATTTTTTTGTTCATTTATTTTTAAGTATTTTGAGAAATAAATTAGTTATTTTTAACAATTTTAGAACTGGAAAAATAGTGCAAATAATTATTTATATTTTTAATCAATATTAGCTGAAGAATAAATAAGTGAAGCCTTTCATTAAAACATAATAAATCTTACATAACAAATCTAACAAAACTTACTTAACAAATCAAATAAAGAAAACACAAGTGTATAAAATAAAAGAGAGAAAAAAATCTACATTTCAGATACCAACACATTAATAAAAAAGTTTAAAAAAAATAAAAAGTTATTATAATATTACAGTCAAACCCTGATTTATCATTCCCGTTCCGACAACACAAGTATTGCTCTTATAAAGTTAATACTCGCTTGGGTCATATTAAAACAAGCAGACTCCTGCATCGATTGTCTAAAAATTCTGTTTACTGATTGTTTATTTTGTTTTGATAATAAAAACAGCAACACCTGATACTAATGATGAAAATGAGGATTTGTTAAAGATATGGAAAATAAAAATGTTGAAAACATTGTGTTTGATGGTTATGGATCAGTTGATGAAAACATTGAAACCTGTGGTGTTCTCAGTTCTAGAAATGGTTGAAGAAATGCATAGTGATACCCATGAGGAAGCCAAATGACACTACAACCGATGCCAACATTTGCAGAAGGTCTTTGAAAAAATGAGGAAGCTTTTTATACAAACGTAAATTTTCATAAAATGAAAAGCAATATTACAAATGTCGCAAATTTATAATTTGTGCTGCTGAGATGAAAAATGTGTGTTCAAATCAAAACTTCTGTACATTTTTAAAAAATTAATCAGGGTAGGAAGCCAAATATTTCAACAAAATATAAGTACCTTTTAAGTACTTTTTAAACACTCAAAAAATATTTTTAAGCACTATATACATTAATAAAATGCAAAATAATTTTCAAAGACTTTACATGATCATAATAAAAGAACTAGTTTCTGACTAAGAACTCTGCAAAGAACTTGATTATATTAGCTATTATAAAAAGATCAAGAGGCTTTTCGGTTGGATATCAGAGGATGGAAAATGAAGCCAGAAATGGAGAATATCTCGCAAAATGCAGCAGAGTTGCACATGAGAGTTCAAGAATCTCACCGAACTCAGATCAGTAAACGCACATGCGGACTCGCAAATAGTATTTCATCAAACATGTAAAATGATTGGCGCTTTCATACACCATGGACCTACAGTATGCCGAAATGGATTGTGGTTGAATGAATTGTGAAAATGTTGAATAGAACAATGTGAAAAGTTTCTTTGGCATTGTAAATAATATTGTATTAAGTACACAATTTTTTCATTTAAAACTTTTTTTACACATTGTAAATAAATTAATTTTCAAATTCATTATTTCAAAACCCATATTATTAGTTTTCCTTCACCTATTGTTGGCAATGAATGGTCGACCAAAGTTTTACTGTAATATAAGTAAATAAAAAGTACTAACTTCAGAATTTCAAAAAATTTAAATTTTGGCCTAGATTTTCTTTCAGTTGGGGTAACTGTGACAGCTTTATGGGCAGGAGATGCTGTAGATGCTTGACGGCTGGAACACATCAGAAGTAAATTAATAAAAAGGCAAAATAGTATTTTTTCAAAAGATTTTAATAAAATAATTAATATAAGTATTTAAGTTACATAGAAATGCAGATTCCTTGAAAAGTGAAAATTTTAAATACAGCGACTGACACTAATAAAAATCACTTGAATGTATAATAACTATTTTTCAAAAAGAAATACCCAAAAACAGAGTTACATATATGCGAACACTGGAGAAATAAAATAACAGAGATTTTACTAGCGACATTAAAAATTAAAACAGATTTTACTATGAGTAAAATTTTGGTACATCATTTAAGTCAAAAAGAGAAATTAAAAATTGGAAATTATATAAGCACTTTCATTTAGCAAAGTAAAAAATATGTATATAAATCCTAATTTGAAGAAGATTTTTTTAAACCAATATTTATAATTACTTAAACCAATAACACTCAACATACTGCAGTACTGGCCTTAGCACTATTTGTTTAGGAATAAGAGAAGTATTTTTGCCATCAGTGGATATTTTATTGCTAATATTTTTTTTAAAAAATCTCTTCAATAAATACAAAGAAATTTGAGAATATATGGGTAAACAGGAGATAGTCGTAAAATACAGGAGTCTTTGTTGACTTGGTATGGAATTAGGATAATATCAAAACATGCTTTGTCCTTTTAATAAATAACCGTGTGTTTCAAAGGATTAAAGTAACGAGAAATAAGAATTATCATTAAAATTTAGTGCTTTATTTTCTCTATACAAATATCATTTATACCTAAACTTTCATGACAGTAAAAATGTGAATATTTTTCTTTAATTTTAAATTTCTATTTCTCTTTTGCAGTATCTTTTGTCTTTTAAATATTAAACATACAATAAAATGTTTGGAAAAAAGCGTCATAGAATTTAAAGAATAGTTTAATGGGTGCCTAAACTTTTGTGGCACATGCATCAGAAAAAACATAACTTTATTCTATTAACTTTTAACTACTATTAAAAGATTATTATTAGTACTAGATTTTAATTATTTGCCATTTGAGTATATGTAAGTTGTAAGCTAGATTTTAATTTAGTTATTACTTGAGTATATGTAAGTTTTTAACATTAACTTTACAATACACAAGAAAGTATATAACTAAACATACCTTGGACTTTTGGATGGAGTTGCTTCCCTGGAGCCGTCACCTGCACACAAATAAAAATTTTGAAAAGTTTGTACATTTTCTTTTTAGTTAATTCAAATTAGTGCCTTTAAATTTGCTGCCTTACAAACCTAAATATTGACTTTCATACAAATTTTTACAAGTATGATAGGCAACTCAATCTAAAGTATATACACTCTTAGCATATAAAGTATTTTCATTGAATTAGCATAGCTAATTCAATGAAAATAAATTTCATCTAAATCCATCTGCATTAGAACACATATTGAAAAATCAGAATGAAAGATTTTTTTTTTCATTTTTAAATAAATAACATTTATTATTTCACCTTAAAAATTGAAGTTAACTAAAAAATGTATTTAATATTTATCAATCAGAAAAATTTAGTTCCATTTTACTAATACTTTTCATACATTTTATTAAGTGATATCGAAACAAAAAAGTTTTTAAATTTCATTTAATTAGTTTTTTAATTTCAGCTACGTTAATATCTTTTTTAAAATTTAAATTTTGATAAATCACAAAATGAAAGTAATGTTGCTGAGATATAACATGAATAGTTAAAAAATTTCATTTCAGTAATGAGAGGTTTGCCGAAGAAAAATATATTTAAATACATTTTCAGTAAAAAAATCAGCAAATAAATATAAATTTTACGTCTATGATAAAAGAACATATTTTATGTTTATGGTAGAGAAACATATTTTATGTATATGATAAATGTTGCTTGATGTAACAATTTTATGATTGTTTTTATTTGAGAATTTCATTTTCCAAAAATATGAATAAATATATTTACTTTTAATAAATTTGAAGCAAAAAAAGAAAAAAGTTAAAATCTTTGAAATTGCTATTATATAGTGTACAACATAAATGGAATATTCCATTCTTCATTAACAACAATATAAACCTTTTGAAACTAATAACTTACAGATCTTCTTTCAATCTTAATCAACCATAAAAATCAAAGTTTGGTTTGGCTATGTTGCACACAGTTTGAAAATTGTACGGTAGAAACACATAAATTGTTTACACATAATTTGTTGTATCAATAAAACTTATTTTAATAACTCATTTCAAAGTAATAAAACTATGACAAAAGTCTTGAAAGTTGGCAAATATTGACAACAGATGCCTCACACACAGGGTTCCCACACAAATTCAGAAGAAAAAAATTCTCTGACTTTTCCAGGTATACCAGGTAAATTTCAATGAAAACCGAAAGCATATTTTTATCAGAAAACTTAGATTCTTTTAATTGTAATGCCAAATATCAGATTTTCTGTGTAAAAAGATATCATTAAATGAGGAAGGGAACATTTCAGTTTGAATAAAATGTGAAATTCTTACAACAAATAATTATAATAGATGTTAGAATTATTTAACTCGAATCTCAATAACTGATTACTGTTAATGACAATCTTAAGACTGGTCATTTTTCCAGGTTTGATATAGGAATATTCCAGGTTTTTTGCGAAAAAATTGCAACTTTGGCTGACTATTCCCTAGATTTTGGAGTCAAAATAAAATTCCCGGACAATTCCAGTTTCTCCCTGAACCGTGGGAATCCCACACACAATGACAAAAAATGTTTTGAAAAAGAAATGCTCTTGATTAGGAAATGGAATGGCGTGTTACCTCTCCAGGAATGCCTCTCTAAGCTTGAGTGGCGTGGGGATCCAGAAGTTGCATCACTGTCCTGAGAGGTGTGTCTACTTCGGGGAGGGGGCACAGGAGGGGAGTCTCGAAGATTCGATTCCATTTGGGCAGCTATACTACCAGGGTCAAGCAGAGGAACTGGTGGACGAGCTCTAATTTGAAAAAGAAAAAGGTTGAATTGATATGCCAAAAATAAATAAATTCTGAAACAAAATATAATTAATTAGTAATTTACAATTTACAAGCAAAGTATTTAATTGAGCTGAAAGAAATTTATAGTTAAACAAGGGGACATGAACAAATAATTGATGAAAATGCAATATTTTGTTTTTTTATAAAAAAAAAAAAGAGAAAGAAAATACAAGAAAATTCTTAATTATCAAAGATCTTAATTTAACAGCCTATTATAAAAACATTAATGCAGAGCTGCCAACATGGACAGGAAAAAATCCAGTAGATTTTATGAAATAATATAAATTTCATAATAATTGTTGAATAATATGCTAAATATTTTACATGTAGGGAATTTTAAGGATTTTCAATGTCATCAAAATAGAAAAACTGCACTATTTTCCTGTTATGATTGACATTAAACATACCTGAAATGTATTACGTTTACTCATAATTTTGAATATCAATAGCCATTTAATTTATCAAAGACAATTCAAAAAAATGTTTTAATTAATTTAAAAACAGAGTTCGGAATAAAAATAAATTGAACATTTTAGAACAAAAAAAGTTCTAAATTGATTTCGATAAATGAATCTCGCTTCATTACATATTAGTAATACTTATTTAAACATTCAAGTAAGCAGGCAATAATGTACAAAAATTCGATTTCAATAGGGATTTCTTTTAGGAAATTTACTCAATTTTAGAGAATTTTCAAAAATGTACAAAAAACACAAGAATTTTAATTAAACCAGTAGACCAAGAGAAACTGGCAAAATCAAGTAGTCTACTGGAAAATTTAATAGAATTGGCAGCTACGTTAATGGAATTACCAAATTAAAAATCAAACAAACTTTTAATATTTTTTTTTATAAACTGAACAAAATGCTCTAAAATAATTAAAATATGATTTTAAAAACATTTTCTATTAGTAAATATAAAATATTTTAATTAATGGAAATCTAATTACAGACATCTTTTCTCACTAATTTACAATTTACAAGCAAAATATTTAATTGAGTTAATTGAAATTTACAGTTAAACAAGGGGACATGAACAAATAGTCGAAAAAATGCAATATTTTGTTTTAAAAAAAATTTTAAAAAAGAGATATGAAATACAAGAAAATTCTTAATTATCAAAAATCTTAATTTAACAACCTACTATAACCAAATTGAAATCAAATAGCCTACCAAATTGGAATTACCAGATTGAAATCAAACAAACTTTTACCATTTTTTTTATAAACTGAACAAAATACTCTAGAATAATTCAAATATGATTTTAAAAACATGTACTATGAATAAATATTAAATATTTTTATTCATGGAAATCTAATTTGAGATACCTTTTCTCAGGCATTATATTTTGAAATTTAATAATTAGATATTTTATTGCATAAAAAAATATCAAAACTACAGTCAGTGAAAAATTTAAAGTAATCAAAATGAAGAGCTACACAATTGCTTGAAAATTCATTTACTCAAGAATATAAAATACAAATTTTAATATTTTTGTGCAACAGATTGTAATAAAAATGTCTTCTTACAGTTATCAACTACCCCATTATAGTGTTATTTAATTAAAAATTATTAAGTCCATCACTTTAATTTAAAGTCCAGATGACATGTTTCATGTCATAGTCAACAAAAAGAACTATCATTTGAACAATAAGCAAAACATTATGTCTAATAAATGGCAACTGATTGTTGACATTGGTTGCATAGCAACAGCTGTGTGTTTCATTAATGCTATTTCTTTCTAGACCTTTGATGCTTGAGTATACATTGAGATTTATTTTTATTAAAATATTGTAAAGGATTTAGAGAAATTTTTTGTATTTTGTACCTTGAATTTCGTTATCTTTTTTAATGGTATCTCAATTTCATTTAGTTTTTCATTGTTTTAATATATATGAGTTTTTTATTTTCTAATTTTTGATGGAGAATATTTTCTGAATATATTTGTTCAACATTTATTTTGAATCAAATATGAATATGGTTAATGATTTTTATTTAAATAAATATATATTTAATAATTCCCTAGAATAAAGTAAGGAACAATTACTGTGCTAAGTGCTTCTTTTAATCAATAATTGTTATAACATAAAAATTATTACTATTTGAAATTAATACTATTTTCATTCATTCGAAACAAAAACAAATTATTAATTAAGAATTTAATTTATCAAGAATGCAGTTACAAAAATAATTTATTAAAATATTAACATTTTAATTAACTGTAAACTTTTAGCAAAGTTACTTATATTATAACATTAAAAAATAAAATATACACAATATTTAAAATAATAAATAATTTGTAATATTTTAGCGAAAATTGTAGCGGTATCAAACAATAAAACTTCAAACCAAAAATAATAATTGCTTTTAAATGGCTAAAAAGTGTAACAGAGAAAGAAAAAAAGGAATAAAACAAACTGCCAATTAGTGTTCATGAAAATTCTTATTTACCACCAAGTACTAATAGTAAAACAAAGAAACAGCAAAATAAACTAAATTTCCTTCCCTAAAAAAAATGGTATCACTTACGGGTATGGGTAAAAAACATTAAAAAAAACTATTAAAGAATTTAAATATGATGAAAAAAAGTAATTTACATTATTATTATTGAAAATTAAAAAATGCAAAGTTCATAATATAATAATAAAATTACCAAAAAATTAACCTGAAATTGATTAAAAATAAATAAATAAAATAAAATAAACCAAAGTATACCTCAAATGTCTGATTTTTTGTTATTACAAAATTAAAAATAAAAATTAGAAAACAAGAAAAATTTTAAAATTTATTAACAATTAACCAATGATTACATTACAGATCTGTTTCCAATTATAATCCTCCTTTACTTAACTGGCACAAAAAAAATCATAAGTTAATCTGTCCCCAATTTTATATGTCTCTAAATATTGAACATATTGTTTTGATCTATTTTTTTAAACAACGCTACGATCATAGTTGTTATGATTTAGAATCTTTCCAGCATGCTAATTACAACTAACAAAGGATTAAACCATCAAGTAGCAAATATTTTTGAGATGGATATAAAACAAGTTTAAAAAAATCTATCTGAAACTTAAGTTGGGCTATTTTCTAATTTTCATATTAATTATTATTTTTTTTTGGTAACCTTAACAAATTGAATGTCACTATATAAGTAGAATAAGTTAAAATTAAAAATTGTCATATATTTTCTTGTGAAAAATAAGGAATTGTTTCTAAATTTTAAAAAGTGAATATTCACAATTCATAACAAAAGTATTAAACATAACATTGTTCTTAATAAATCAGAACTTGAAAGTCTATCTGAAACTTAAGTTGCACTATTTTTTAATTTTATTATTAAATTAGAAGAAATTGAATGTCAAAGTATAAGTTGAATAGGTTAAAACTAAAATTGGTCATAATGTTTTTCGTGAAAAATAAGGGATTGTTTTTAAATTTTAAAAAGTGAATATTCACAAATGCATAACGAAAGTATTAAAAATCAAGTAATCAGTATCTGGCCATACTGATCAAATTACAATCCTAATGAGATAATAATTAATGGTCTTACCCATAATTAGTAATTTAATGGTCTTACCCATCTTGAGTAGTTTATTGGTTTTACCCGTAATGAGTAATTTAATGGTCTTACCCATCTTGAGGAGTCATGGCAGAAAGAAACTGTTTGGCACGATCTTCATTATAGTTACTACTGTCTAAAGCCATATTCACTAATGTTCTAGATACAGCAGGGAATTGCTCTTGCAGTCGACCAACCACTGTTGAAATTAAAAAAAACACAAATAAGATACATTTTATCCATATATGTCATAAAAGTGTCTCTGAAATGACTGCCCTTAACATATAAAGGGTATCTGATACATTTTAGATTGACTTTCCGTGACTAATTCCAAGAATTTTTCAAGACTTACCAAAGTTACTATTTTCTCCGACAAAAACACAATATTAAATACATAACATTAATTTAAATGATAGGTATAACCAAAACTGTTATATTCTGCATCCTCATACTTATAGATTTTAAACTTAAAAAACAGAGTAGAAAAAGAATTGAAGCAATAAAATAGCAGACTAAAATATAAAAACAAATAACTAAATACAGTCAGACATATGTAGTTATTTAAACCTGTTTTTATTTCTGATTCAAAGTAAGTGTAATATAAAAATCCTAAACTAGAATTCTAAATTAATTAGATAAAAATAAAAAAAATTATAAATAGATAAAAAAAATTCAGAAAACACAGTAGTTTAAAAGATAATTCGCTCTAGGAATGATGTTCTTTCTTCCATTTTCTGAGAGAACACCATAGTTTTTAAAGAACATGATATAAACAATTTATATTTTAATAAAATATGACTGTGAGTGGGGATTTTGTTATAAATTCAGACAGGGTGCGTAGCCAAATTATTCAACAAAAAATAAGCACTTTTTAAGCACTCAAGTAATATTTTTAAGTACTTTAAAAAAATATCATAATTAGGCAGGGTGGGAAAGTTTTTGACAATTGACGTTTTTATCTGGTTTTAACCGTCATGTCAAAAAAAAACCTTTTGGCATTGTTTTTTGACAATTGTCAAAATTTTTGAACGTCGTTTTCATACCTTACGGACTGGCGATGCACCGATATTGATTGGGGTTGAATTAATTGTGACAACGTTGAATAAAACAATATGAACAGTGTCTATCTGCATAATTCGTAGCTTAAATTAACCTAGTAAAGGAAAAATCTCAATTTGGAAAAGGGAAAATGAAGCACTTTTAAAAAAAACGAAAATCAAAAATAAGCATCTTTAAGCACTTTTTAAAAAGGCTAAGCACCCTGTCAGATTTTTTGAACACTGTGAAATCATGAGGGGGAGGGTAAATTCCATTTTAAAATTTTGATTTCTCAGCAACTTAATTTCATGACTTTCCATGAATTTTTTTTAAATAGTTAAAATCATGACATTTCATAACAAATTTTTTTTCAATACTGAAATCCATGACTTCCAATGATTTTTCCTGACTTTCCAGGTGCGCAGATACCCTGCAAATACTTCAGGGGTCTTTTTGTTTTAGTTATTTTTTCTTTTTAAAACTACCATGGAAAAAATTCTGAATTTTATTTTCCAAACACTCAGGAAAACAACCTTGACATACAACACGAGATTATCGATGAAATGATCGTTAATAGCAATGAAAATCAACACATAAAAATATCTCATACAGATGGACTAAAAGCTATCAAAAACACTTTTGAATATTTAGAACAAAAAAAGACAACACCAGCCTTTCTGTTATACCTAGTAAAATGGCAAAACATTGCTGCAGAAAAGCGCCTAAGTAATGTAAAGCAAAAAACGATTAAGAACTTTAAGTAAAAACTCTTAAATTCTCTTAAAGTATTCTCTTTAAGTATTTTTAAGCAAGCTTTTTAATTATAATATGAATGCATGTGGTGTACTCGTATAAATTTTTTATTTGTTAAATATATTACATTTATACCTACTCTTTCCTTTTTTATACTCATCGCTTTAACCAAGTTTTTCGGTTATTCAAGTTAGACGTGGTCTCGGATAACCGGGACTCAACTGTATTTTTAAATTTCGTGTCAAAAATGAAGATTAAATAATCTACATAATAGGAGTAGCAAATTAATATTATACAAGAAAAAAAGGAAAACACTATTGAAATCATCACTTTTGAAAGAGGTGGGTGCACAAACATCAAAACCTGTTTGATTGCATGAGAAAACATGGAAGGAAAGATGATAGTTAGAAATACTTCTTAATTGCAAAGAGTATTTTAGTAGGTTTGGAAATTTTGTACTTCTACTTTTTTTAACAATGATTTATCAGATTTCAATGGTATTTTTGTTTTCTTATCCTTGCTTAAATAATAATTTGTGACCTTAAATGTCAATATTTATTAATAATAAATTATAAAAATAAAAAATGAACAACAATAAAAACAATGACAATCAGTTCTAATAAAAAAAGTATAACATATAAGATATTATGTAACAACCGCAAATGTTTATGATATTTTTCTTATTTAATTCCTAAAAAAGATTTAGAAAAGAAGATATATTAAAGGCAATTATTGACGAATATCTTATATACCTTGCAACACACGAGTGATAAAAAAAGTTTAGAAATTTAGAGTTGATTAAAACTTTTTTAGACATTATAATTATGACAAATAATTAAAATTGATTGAAAATAATTGAAACTGATTGATGAAGATAATTACAATTGATGAAGATAATTAAAATTGATGAAGATAATTAAAATTGATAAAGATAATTAAAATGGATAAATTTGGCCTTTTTTCACAGTGTTTGAAACTACATGTCCATTGAAAACTGCAAAACTAAAAATTAAAAAAAAAGATTCAGAGTAAAGAACTCATGACAGAATTATGTGGTTTCTATAGAGAAGCACTAAGGATACAGCAATGATTTTTGTGCTTAAAATTTAAATAAGTTTCTATTGATTTACGCTAGATGATACCCAACTAGAATGCTTTGAAAATTGACAACTAAAAATAAATTTTATTACTTTTTTAGGAATACCAAACATATAATTTTTAAAATGAAGTAGACAATATTAATTAGGGTCATTCCATGTCAAATCATACAGGATTTTACAAAAATGGCACCCACCATCTCAGATTGTGATGAAAATTTGTACACTTATTGAATTTTTTGTGCTGATTTCAAAAATATAAATTATATTTAAATTGGTTAAGGGGTTTAAAAGTTATAAGCATTTATATTTTTGCCAAAATGGCACATTTGTCGCCATGATTGTAACTCACCTTATATTTGTCATAGAGCAATAATTTTTTTTAACTTTGTTTAGAATAAATATTTTTTTTTAATTTTGTTTAGAATAAATAATTTTTTAAATTTTGTTTAGAATAAAGTAATCTGTCATTTAAGCACTTTTTTTTTGCAGTTTTTTGATCAACGGAGTTGAGTAACTTCAGGAGATAATTTCTGGCAACTCGCCTCCTTCAATTTCAAAAATATTTTATTGAAAGATAGTTGAAAGTGCAAACTAACATCTGATATAAAAATTTTGATGGGCGGTTCACTCACTTTAAAAAAAAAAAAAATCTTTTTCTTATGAATTATTATGCATTAAAAGTACTGGTAGTTTGATGATTTATAGTCCTTAATTGTAACTAGAGTATAATAAAATGACTTAAAAAAATGAGAATGGTAGAAAAATATGTAAAATAAAGTAATCATTTATTATATTATTTTTTCCCCTTGTTTCTTTGAGCCCTCCCCCCTCCACTTAAAAAAGAAAAGAAGAACTGGAAAAATTTGAGAATGAACAAGACATGTAATTGAAGATCAAATTATGAATATTTATAGTTGATTTTATCCTTTAATTTTTCGGAATGATTGTTATAGCAATGAGATACTCCTAAAAAATTTCATTTTAAACACTGATAAAGTTCAAACTATTTATTTTAATTATATTGAAATGAAATGACTTTATATCACCAACTATCTGATAATTTGTATGCTTTTATTTCATCACTAACACCTGCAGACCTTTTTTATTCAGTAAGACTTTTATTATAATTATATACATCCAATTTTTTTAAAAAAAACTTCTGAATTAAAAAAAAATACTGAAAACTATTGACACATCAGGGTTTCCACTGTATTTGAGAAACCTTGAATTCTTATTTGCAGATCGGAATTCATATAAAATGTTCTACGAATTGCGGTTTAACTGAAAGTGATTAATGAATCACATATCGAATATTACTTTAAATTGATTTGCAAATTACTCATCAGAATTCATATTAAGGGATTTTAAAAATCACACATCATAATTCACATTAAGTGATTTATCAATCACACATCATAATTCACATTAAGTGATTTATCAATCACACATCATGATATCAATTAAAGTTATTTCCAAATCATATAATGCATTAAAGTAATTTCAGAATCATGCCTCACAATTCCCATTCTAGTTATTTACAAATCACGCATTGCGATTCACAAAAGAGAGATTTAAGAATCACACATAGCTGTTCAATATTAAGCACCTTTCAAATCACAAATTGCAATTTGCATCATAATGATCACTATTCACATGAAAACAATTAGCTAATAATCCAACAGAATTCACATTAAAGTGATTTATGTATCTCACATTGTGGTTCATGTCTTGTTAGTTTGTGTGTTTTGTATCATTTGCTATTCATATGATTCCGGTTTAAGAAACATACACCCCAATTCAATTTAAATTTACAAATTACACATTGTGATACGTGATTTACGCAATCTTCGAGAGTTACTTCACCTTTCTTATAATTTTGATTTACATATAGTATATCTAGATTTGTATAAATGCGATGTAAAAATTACGCTTAGTAAAAATTATGCATTTAAAGAGTCTTAAAAATCACGCTTCGCATTTTATGGACATATTTTAAAGAAAATAAAGCTCGGTAAGTCTCAGTTATCTGTGAAATGTTGTTCTACAATAGATTTTATTATGTTCAAAATACATGACTGATATTCTGAAGTAACAAAATAGAAAATTTGATATTAAAATTGAAACAGATATATTTTGATAATTTATCTATGTTATAGATAATTATAGATTCTATAATACACTTCCTGTAATCTAAAATTTGATCTAACATATTAAAAATAAGTATTTATATTTTAATAACCATGCAATTACACAAGCTTTATGAATTATTTACTATGCTTGTTTAATGTAATATGCATTATACAATACATTCATTCAGTTTCATTAATTCTAATTCACTTCATTATTAAATTTTTCATGAAAAGTTTCACTGATGCTAGTTTTTAAATGTTGGCTAGTATCCTATGTTAATTGGAGTTCTTTTTTTCTTTTTTTTTTTGTCAAATGGAATTTTCTAAGGGATTTGGAACGGCAATGTAATTATCAACCATTTGTATTATTAGCAGGTAAATTTAATAAATAATTTTGTTGTTGTTGTCAAATAACCATTGTGATTTAAAAATATAAATTTCTGCTGCTACGTAATTGTAAAATCTGGTTGACAAGTACTTTAGCATATAACAATAATACTGAATAGGCCCTTGAAAAGTCCTTGAATGTTTTTAAAAAAATTGAGTGGGAAAACTGCACATTTCATCCCTACCTTCCCAAAAAAGAAATTTGACCAATCAGAATTGAGTGTCATGTAAAATTCATTTTCTTTCAAATCAATAAAATTGTATTTCCATTCATTTAGAAGAGAAAAGAAATAAATAAGTTTTCAAAAGTTTTAAATGTATCAATTTGATATTTAAAAAAGTTTTATTACGAAAACCCAAGTATTATGTAGTATTGGATGAACTTTGAAAGTTTTTAAGTGCAGTTTTAACTCACAGAAGATTTTAGAACTTTCTTCTGAGAATGTAGAACTTATTTCATTAAGGAGCAATTTAGATTTTAAGGAAAGTTCAACTATATGCCTCATACATAAGGAGTATCTCTTGTATCAATTTGAAATACTATATATATATATAAAAAAATTGTGACTCATTTAATTCTCTTTTCAATAAGACCAAGAAAGTCTCCCTTCATTTCATACGTGTAGATCAGGCTAAAACATACAGAGCTAAATTACAAATTTCAGCAATCCCTGACCAGAAATTGTGCGCCTGATGCAGAAATTGTGTTTATCTTGTTCTTTCTCAAATTTTTCCCATTCTTCTTTTCTTTTTTAANAATGAAAATCTAATTACAGATATCTTTTCTCACTAATTTAGAATTTACAAGCAAAATATTTAATTGAGTTAAAGGAAATTTACAGTTAAACAAGGGGGCATGAACAAATAGTCAAAAAAATGCAATATTTTGTTTTAAAAAAAATCAAAAAAAGAGATACGAAATACAAGAAAATTCTTAAGTATCAAAAATCTTAATTTAACAACCTACTATAACCCAATTGAAATCAAATTGGAATTACCAAATTGAAATCAAACAAACTTTTACCATTTTTTTTTATAAACTGAACAAAATGCTCTAAAATAATTAAAATATGATTTTAAAAACATTTTCTATTAATAAATATTAAATATTTTAATTAATGGAAATCTAATAACAGATATCTTTTCTCACTAATTTACAATTTACAAGCAAAATATTTAATTTAGTTAATTGAAATTTACAGTTAAACAAGGGGACATGAACAAATAGTTGAAAAAATGCAATATTTTGTTTTTTTTTTTAAAAAAAAAAAGAGATACGAAATACAAGAAAATTCTTAAATATCAAAAATCTTAATTTAACAACCTACTATAACCCAATTGAAATCAAATAGCCTACCAAATTGGAATTACCAAATTGAAATCAAACAAACATTTACCATTTTTTTTTTTTTATAAACTGAACAAAATGCTCTAGAATAATTCAAATATGATTTTAAAAACATGTACTATGAATAAATATTAAATATTTTTATTCATGGAAATCTAATTTGAGATACCTTTTCTCAGGCATTATATTTTGAAATTTTATAATTAGATATTTTATTGCATAAAAAAATATCAAAACTACAGTCAGTGAAAAATTTAAAGTAATCTAAATGAAGAGCTACTCAACTGCTTGAAAATTCATTTACTCAAGAATATAAAATACAAATTTTAATATTTTTGTGCAACAGATTGTAATAAAAATGTCTTCTTACAGTTATCAACTACCCCATTATAGTGTTATTTAATTAAAAATTATTAAGTCCATCACTTTAATTTAAAGTCCAGATGACATGTTTCATGTCATAGTCAACAAAAAGAACTATCATTTGAACAATAAGCAAAACATTATGTCTAATAAATGGCAACTGATTGTTGACATTGGTTGCATAGCAACAGCTGTGTGTTTCATTAATGCTATTTCTCTCTAGACATTTGATGCTTGAGTATACATTGAGATTTATTTTTATTCAAATATTATAAAGGTTTTAGGGATATTTTTTGTATTTACCTTGAATTTTGTTATCTTTGTTAATGGTATCTCAATTTCATTTAGTTTTTAATTGTTTCATGTATATGAATTTTTATTTTCTAATTTTTGAGGGAGAATATTTTCTTAATATATTTATTCAACATTTATTTTGATTCAAATATGAATATGGTTAATGATTTTTATTTAAATAAATATATATTTAATAACACCCAAGAATAAAGTAAGGAACAATTACTGTGCTAAGTGCTTTTTTTAATCAATAATTGTTATAACATAAAAATTATTACTATTGGAAATTAATATTTTCATTCATTTGAAACAAAAACAAATAAAAATTATTAATTAAGAAATGAATTTATCAAGAATGCAGTTACAAAAATAATTTATTAAAAATTTAATATTTTAATTAACTGTAAACTTTTAGCAAAGTTATTTATATTATAACATTAAAAAATAAAATATACACAATATTTAAAATTGTAAATAATTTGTAATATTTTAGTGAAAATTGTAGCGGCATCAAACAATGAAACTTCAAACCAAAAATAATAATTGCTTTTAAATGGCTAAAAAGTGTAAAAGAGAAAGAAAAAAAGGAATAAAACAAACTGCTAATTAGTGTTCATGAAAATTCTTATTTACCACAAAGTATTAATAGTAAAACAAAGAAACAGCAAAATAAACTAAATTTCCCTCCCTTAAAAACAATGGCATCACTTATGGGTATGGGTTAAAAACATTTAAAAAAAACTATTAAAGAATTTAAATATGTTGAAAAAAAGTAATTTACATTATTATTATTGATATATATTTATATTATTATTACGAAAAAATAAAATTAAAAATGCGAAGTTCATAATATAATAATGAAATTACCAAAAAATTAACTGAAATTGACTAAAAATAAATAAATAAATAAAATAAACCAAAGTATACTTCAAATGTCTGATTTTTGTTATTACAAAATAAGAAGATTTAAAAAAAATTAGAAAACAAGAAAATTTTTTAAATTTATGAAGAATGAACCAATGATTACATTACAGATCTGTTTCTAATTATAATCCTCCTTTACTTAACTGGCACACAAAAAAAATCATAAGTTAATCTGTCCCCAATTCTATATGTCTCTAAATATTGTGCATATTGTTTTGAAATTACTATTTTTTTAGACAACATAGAACTGAAGAATAACACTTTGTTTAGGAAATAGTCGATAAGATCAGAGTTGCTATGATTTAGAATCTTTTCAACATGCTAATTACAACTAACAAAGAATTAAACCATCAAGCTGCAAATATTTTTGAGATGGATATAAAACAAGTCTAAAAAAATCTATCTGAAACTTAAGCTGGGCTATTTTCTAATTTTCATATTAAATTTTTTTGTTGGTAACTTTAACAAATTGAATGTCAATATATAAGTAGAATAAGTTAAAATTAAAAATGGTTAGATATTTTTTTGTGAAAAATAAGGAGTTGTTTCTAAATTTTAAAAAGTGAATATTCACAATACATAACAAAAGTATTAAACATAAAGTTGTTCTTAATAAATCAGAACTTGAAAGTCTATCTGAAACTTAAGTTGCGCTATTTTCTAATTTTATTATTAACTTTTTTGTAACCTGATGAAATTGAATGTCAAAGTATAAGTTGAATAGGTTAAAACTAAAATTGGTCATAATTTATTTTTGGTAAAAAATAAGGAGTTTCAAAATTTTAAGAAGTGAATATTCACAAATGCATAACGAAAGTATTAAAAATCAAGTAGTCATTATCTGGCCATACTGATCAAATAACAATCCTAATGAGATAATTAATGGTCTTACCCATAATGAGTAATTTAATGGTCTTACCCATTTTCAGTAATTTATTGGTTTTACCCGTAATGAGTAATTTAATGGCCTTACCCATCTTGAGGAGTCATGGCAGAAAGAAACTGTTTGGCACGATCTTCATTATAGTTACTACTGTCTAAAGCCATATTCACTAATGTTCTAGATACAGCAGGGAATTGCTCTTGCAGTCGACCAACCACTGTTGAAATCAAAACACACACAAATAAGATACATTTTATCCATATATGTCATAAAAGTGTCTCTGAAGTGACTGCCCTTAACATATAAAGGGTATCTGCTACATTTTAGATTGACTTTCCATGACTAATTCCAAGAATTTTTCAAGACTTACCAAAGTTACTATTTTCTCCAATAAAAACACAATAATAAATTTAAAAAAGCATTATAATAACATTAATTGTAATGATAGGTATAACCAAAACTGTTATACTCTGCATCCTCATATTTATAGATCTTAAACTTAAAAAACAGTAAAGAAAGAATTAAAGCAATAAAATAGCTGAATAAAATACAAAAGCAAATAACTAAATACAATCAGATATATGTAGTCATTTAAACCTGTTTTATTTCTTATTCAAAGTAAGTGTATTATAAAAAACCTAAACTAGAATTTTAAATTGATAAAATAAAAAAGTAAAAAATAGATAAAAATATTCAGAAATCATGAAAATTTAAAAGATAATTCGCTTTAGAAATGAAGTTCTTTCCTTCCTTTTTTGAAAGAATACTATAATTTTTAAAGAACATAATAAAAATATTTTATATTTTAATAAAATATGACTGTGAGTGGGGATTTTGTTATAAATTCAGATATTCGGAACAATGTGAAATCGAGAGAGGGGGAAACTCCATATTAAAAATTTGACTTCTCAGCATCCTAAATTCATGACTTTCCATGGATTTTTTTTAAATAGTTAAAATCATGACATTTCATAACAAATTTTGTTCAATACCGAAATCCATGACTTTCCATGATTTTTCCAGACTTTCCAGGTGCGCAGATACCCTGCAAATACTTCAAGGATTTTTTTGTTTTAGTTATTTTTTCTTTTTAAAACTACCATGGAAAAAAATTCTAAATTTTATTTTCCAAACACTCAGGAAAACAACCTGCCAGACAACACGAGATTACCAATGAAATGATCGTTAATAGCAATGAAAATCAACATATAAAAATATCTCATACAGATGGACTAAAAGCTATCAAAAGCGCTTTTGAATATATAGAACAACAAGAAAACCAGCCTTCCTGTTATACCTAATAAAATGGCAAAACATTGCTGCAGAAAAGCGCCTAAGTAATGTAAAGCAAAAAACGATTAAGGACTTTAAGTAAAAACTCTTAAATTATCTTAAAGTATTTTTAAGTAAGCTTTTTAATTATAATATGAATGTATGTGGTGTACTCGTATAAATTTTTTATTTGTTAAATATATTACATTTATACCTACTCTTTCCTTTTTTATACTCTTCGCTTTAACAAAGTTTTTCGGTTATTCAAGTTAGTCGTGGTCTCGGAAAACCGGGACTCAACTGTATTTTTAAATTTCGTGTCAAAAATGAAGATTAAATAATCTACATAATAGGAGTAGCAAATTAATATTTAAGCAAGAAAAAAAGGAAAACACTATTGAAATCATCACTTTTGAGAGAGGTGGGTGCACAAACATCAAAACCAGTTTGATTGCATGAGAAAACATGGAAGGAAAGATGATAGTTAGAAACAATTCTTAATTTCATAGAGTATTTTAATAGGTTTTGATATTTTGTACTCCTACTTTTCTTAGCAATGATTTATCAGACTTCAATGGTATTTTAGTTTTCTTATACTCGCTTAAATATTAATTTGTGACCTTAAATGTCAATATTTATTAATATTATATTATAAAAAAAAAATGAATAACAATAAAAACAATGACAATCAGTTCTAATAAAAAATGCATAACATATATGATATTATGTAGCAACCGGAGAAGTTTATATTTTTCTTATTTAATTCCTGAAAAAAAGATTTAAAAAAAAAAGATATATTAAAGAATACCTTATATACCATGCAACACAAGTGTGATAAAAAAAGTTTAGAAATTTAAAGTTGATTAAAACTTTTTTAGATATTATGATTGTGACAAATAATTAAAATTGATTGAAAATAATTGAAATTGATTGATGAAGATAATTAAAATGGATAAATTTGGCCTTTTTTCACTGTGTCTGAAACTACGTGTCCATTGAAAACTGCAAAATTAAAAATTTAAAAAAAAGATTCAGAGTAAAGAATTTATGACAGAATTATGTGGTTTCTATAGAGAAGTACTAAGAATACAGCAATGATTTTTGTGCTTAAAATTTAAATAAGTTTCTATTGATTTACACTAGATGATACCCAACTAGAATGCTTTGAAAATTGGCAAGTAAAAATAAATGTTATTACTTTTTTAGGAATGCCAAACATAAAATTTTTAAAATGAAGTAGACAATATTAATTAACAATAAAAACAATATTAACCTAAGTCTGATGAATTAATTAAAAAAGGAGTTACAGCAGTTATTTATTAAAAAGTTTCAAAACTGTAAAAAAAAAAAAAAAAAAAAAACTTAAAAGCTAATATTTTCATAAAAAAAACTTAAAAGCAAATATTTTCTTAAAAAAACTTAACAAGACTTTACACTTCACCCCCCCAAAAAAAATCATTTCAAATTAACTAGAATTTAGATATACATAGTTTTAAAACAAAAATTACAGTTAATTATTTATTTATTATTTTTCTTTGTAATAGCACTATACCTGCCAACATTGGAGAAATAAAATAACAGAGATTTTACTTAAGACATTTTTTAGGCTTCGAGTAAAGTTTTGATACATCAAGCACAAACATGTAAGCCAAAAAGAGAAATTCAAATTTGGAAATAATATAAGCATTTACATTTGGCAAAGTAAAAAATATGTATATAAATCTTAATCAAAAGATTTTTTTAAACCAATATTTTTAATTACTTAAACTATTTTATAACTGTTGTTACACAGCAGACCCAATTTCAGGTTTACGGCTACTTTGTATAATTTTTACTTCGCTAAACGTAAGTGCTTATGTAATTTTGTACTCTTGTAATTTTGAACCTAATCCAGAAGACAAGGGAACTCCTGAATCAATCAAGAATTAGGAGAAATTTGTCTTTGTGGAGCAATTTTTGATGGAACTAAACTGCATTTGCATTACATGGAAACCACAAAAACTTTTTACGATTAGCCTGACTGCAAGGGGTAATTAAACTATTAATATTCAACATACTGCAGTACTGGCAATAGCACTATCTGTTGAGGAATAAGAGAAGTATTTTTGCCATCACCGGATATTTTTTGGCCAAAATTATTTATTTATTTTTTTAAATTGGAGACAACAAATATGGAGAAATTTGAGAATGTAGGGGTAAACAGGAGATGGTTGTGAAATACAGGAGTCTTCATTAAAAAACAGGGGACTTGGCAGGCATGTAGCACTATTCGTTGTGAGATAAAATTTAAAAAAATGTTTTAACAATTAACTTCAGTTTATCACACAAAATGCCAAATCCAAAATATAATATAACATTTGTGCCAAAAGTAATCATTTAACAAAAATGACAAGTTTGACAAACTTCTGAACTAAGATCCAAAGAATGAATACTCACATTGTAGTTTGTCTGACGCACTAGGTGGGATGACAATTATAGGACGTTCAGGTGGCAGAGAGGGACGTGGAATTTCAAGAGATGGCTTACGAATTGGCTGGCTATTATTTGGACGAGTAATTGGTGTATCACGCTTGGAATAGCCCATCCCAACTAAACGAGTCGATGCTTCTTGGGCATTATTGTCACAGCTGGAAAAAGACAAAAACAACCAAAAAACATTAGTAATATCAAAGAGATTTGTAAAAATTTCAGTGAGTGGAGTTTAATTTTTTCCATGTATAAATACAGGGTACATAGCCAAATCTTTCAACAAAAAATAAGCACCTTTTAAGTACTCAAAAAATATTTTTAAGCATTATAAACATTAACAAAATGTGAAATAATAGACTTTACATAATCATGATAAAATAACTAGTTTCTGACAAAGAACTCTTTTCTTGATTATATTAGCCATTATAAAATGATAAAGAGATTTTCTTGATTCGATATCAGAGAGAGGGAAATGAAGCTTGAAATTGAGAATATTTTGCAAAATGCAGCAGAGTTGCACATGAGAGTGCAATAATCTCACCGAACTCAGCTCAGTAGACGCACATGCAGACTCGCAAGTATTACAACAAATATGTAAAATGATTTGCGCTTTCATACGCTTTGGGCCAATACACCGAAATAGATTGTGGTTGAATGAATTGTGAAAACGTTGAATAGAACAATGAGAAAGTCATGCTTTTGCATATGGCATGGCGAAAATCGGCATAGTAAAGAAAAAAAATCTCAATTTTGAAAAGGGAAAATTAACCACTTTTTAAAAACAAACAATGAAAAAACCACCTTCAAGAGTTTTTAAAAAACAAACAATGAAAATAAGCACATTTAAGCACTTTTTAAACATACTATGCACCATGAAATAGGACAGACAGCACCAGAAGTAAGAAAACATTTTTAAAATTTCAGCAACACTATGAGCATTTCCAATCTATGGTAAAAATATCAACACTTTTTTTCTTCTTCTTTAAATAGCATGATTTGTGTCTCTGAGAAGTATGCAAATTTTGTCTCAAAGCATTTGTTAATTCATGATAGAACAGACTTTAGCAAAGTCATATTAATTGTGAAATTATAATTTAAAATGCCTTTACCCATGCTATCTTAGATTTTAGGTTAAATTTTTGATTTGCACTTTCATGATTTTTCTTCTTTTTTTTTCGTACCTAACAAACTTTTGGGGATATATTACTATCTGACAGCACAAGACACCTTTTAAAACAGGTAGCAAATAAAAGGGTTACATTATTGTTACCTATTTTAAATGGATAAATAATGCTACCTATTGATTTGGTAGGTTAGGGGTGCACAACCTTTTTGAGTGAAGGGCCACTTGCACAGCCGGTTGCCTAACGCACATGTATTTAGACATGTTAATGACAAATGTAGTAATGTTTATTTAAACATTAGCGTTCCATTTTTTTTATCAATAAACTTAGTAATATCAATAACTTAGTAGTGTTATTAAAATTCATTGAAAAATAAAAAAACTTATACTTTTTTTTTTATAAAAAAAACTTGCTATTTTTATCATATAAACAATAGATTTATCAAAATAAATAAACATTGAAGAAAAGAAATGTTTTTTTTTATCATATCATGCAATACGAAAATTCATCTTAGAATTAAATTCTAATAAATAAAATNGCTATTTTTATCATATGAACAATAGATTTATCAAAATAAATAAACATTGAAGAAAAGAAATATTTTTTTTATCATATCAAGCAATACGAAAATTCATTTTAGAATTAAATTCTAATAAATAAAAAAAAACTGCAATGCCCACAGAATGAAAGTAGGAAAAAAATTTTTCCAGATATTTTCTACCCCATTTTCTCTAGAAAAAAATAAATTACCTTTAAATGGAATGCATTGAACTGCAAAGTGACATTCAACTGAAAGAAAAATTTGGGAATGTTTCTCTACTGGAGTTTCATAGAATACATATCCCGTGATAAATATCCTAATTTTCACTATCATGCTTTATTAATGTCTTCAGCTTTTGACAGTACCAATATTTGTGAACAATTATTTTCAAGAATGAAGCAGACAAAAAACAAAAATAGGGCAAAGATCACTGACAAACATCTTGAAAATGCATTAAGAACTGCCACCTCGTTCGCTGAACCCGATATCATCCAAACTAAATGAAATGAAACTACAATTTTAAAATAAATATGTACCTATACATAACTAATTCAAATTAAAAAAAAAATTAAATTATAAAAAGAAGTTGAATAATTTTAATAAAACTGCATGGAGTTAATTTTTATTTCAATTTGTTGAATAAATATTGTATACGTGGCAAAGCAAATTTTTTCTTTTTTGCAATGTGGCCCTCAAACGATCATAGTTTAGACACCCTAACAGGGTTGGCAAGTTTTTGACACATGACAGTTTTTACCGGCTTATACCATGTTTTTTTTTTCATGTCAAAAAACCCTCTGTCAAAAACCCATAGTTTTGGTAAAACTGTATTTTAATTTGAGTTTAACTGCTTATGATTTAAAATTAATTCATTTTTGGGCAATAAAATTAGAAAAAAAGTTGTTAAAAGATATTTAAGAACAAATTCTTGCATTTCCCAACATGATTATATCAAAACATACAATTTGAAGTAAAATATTAGGATACTCAACAAAATTTTCAACATTTCCAAGCATCATTTTGTTTAGCATATTACATTACTGAAGAATGTCAAGTCATTCTTGACTTAGTTGCAAGTTTTGAAAGTTTTGCTTAGCTTATTTCTAATATTTAAGAAATGCCAAATTTTAAATTCTTCTTTTTAGTTCTTGAATTTATTAATAGTTCCAAGCTTTTTTGTTTGATTGTTTATTTCTAACAATTAAGAAGAGCAAAATTTTGAATCCTTTGCAAATCAAGCTATAATGATAAAGGTAAGTATCACTATTTTCAGTAAGTATATTACAATATTTCTATATGAATGTATATCCTTCTATAAGAATACATGTACATCGTTGCAAAATCAATAGCAATCCATTTACTTACGACATTCATTTATAAAGACAATTATGTGAAAATAATATATTCAGGGTATCCGCGCACCTGGAAAGTCATGAATTTCAGTATTGAACAAAATTTGTCATAAAATGCCATGATTTTTACTATTTTTTAAAAAATAATCATGGAAAGTAATGAATTTAGGTCTCCAAAAAATCTAATTTTTAAAATGGAATCCCCCCTCCCCCCCAATTTCATCCTGTGCCCAATATCTGAATTCCTAACAAAATCATCACTCAGGCATATTTTATTAAAATATAAAATGATTTTATCATGTTCTTTAAAAAGTATCTTTAGAATTTAATTCTGCTGGAAAAAAAATTATTTACCTTTGTATTTTTTTCCAGCTATTTTATTGTTTCAAATCTTTCTTTACTCTGTTTTTTAAATTTAAAATCTATAAATATGAAGATACAGTGTATAGCAGTTTTGGTTATACCTATCACTTCAATTAAAATTATTATAATGCTTTTTTAAATTCATTGTTGCGTTTTTGTCAGAGAAAATAGTAACATCGTTAAGTCATGAAAAATTCTTGGAATTAGTCATGAAAAGTCATGAATTTGAAAATCTAAAATGTAGCAGATACCCTGTATATTGTCCGCTTCATACCATAAATTAAAGAAAACAGTAGGTTTTTGACGGTTTTTACCGGTAAAAACACGGTTTTTACCACTGTCATGTCAAAAACCAGTTTTTGATGGCAAAAACCCAACCCTGCACCATAACTGTATGAAATATCAAATTTGATAACTTAAACATGAATTCAAGATCTAAAAAGAGGTTTGTCTTACTTATTCAGTACGTCAAAAAGGACAGCTTCATCACACTCGGGGAAAACAAGTTTAAGGTATCGTAATTTCATTTTAGGAGAACTCGGGTGAGGACTTTGAAGACGGCTGTTGTAGCCTCTGTTGCCAGAGACTAAAGCTCCAATAACTTCATGCTCTTGATTATGGTACCTAAATGAGACAAGCATATAGCGTCTCATGATGATCAATGATTTTAAGTACATTGAATAATCTAGGAACACATTTAAAAACTTCTTTTACTAAAGAATAAAGTAATCAAATGTAAACAAATAAGAAAAAGGAAATGAATTAAATTGCAGTTACAAATAATACCTCACACATTTATATTTATTGCTTTTTTTTCTCAAATCTTTTAAATAAAATTATAAAATATCTTGCAGGTTTTTTATTTTCTAATCGTTCATAAAAATAGAAATACCTACTTAGAAATTAATAATTACTGAGTAATATTAATATAACTTCCTGAAAATTAATGCAATTTTAATTGAGTTTTATCATTGTAGCTATTTACTGACTCTGAACATTAAAACATACACTTCAAGTAGTTTTTCTTTCGTTATTTATTTTTATCTTTGTTCTGAAAAAAAGAGCACATAAAATTTAATAAAAGGTAATTAAAATTAAGTTTTAAAGAAAAAAGAAGTCATATCAACTTTTATCCTACATTAATGTTTTTGTTTGCAGAAACCAAATAAAACAGTTAAATAATCAAACAATGAGTTTTACATAACTTATAACCTTAACACATGATTTATTAAAATATACAAAAACATATTGAAATTAAAATTTTAAAACATGGTGAATAATACGTATGTCCGTTGTAAGTTACAAATATGCTCGGGATCAGCTGTTTTACGTAACTTATAACAATTACATACGATTTATTAAGATATCGAAAAACATGCAGAAACAAACACGGTGAATAATACGTACATCCGTTGTAAGTTCCGAATATGCTCAGGATCAGCTGCAGGGAAAAAATTCCGCAGTTTGTGAAAGAGAGCCTCATCGACTTGGAACACCTGAACTTCATTCTAAAATTTAGAAATTCCTTATTCATCAACATTCCATGTTTGTACCAGTCAAAATCAATGCCAATTCTAGACTATATTTCTCTAATTAATTTACACAGAAATGATATTTCGTGTTTTAGTATTTTTCTTTTTCAGTGTTTTACAATTCCAATACAAATGGCAAAATAAAATTGAGTAAATATTTTAGAGTAGCAAAAAGGCGTAATTTATTGAGTTAAATAAGCCAATTTCAATACACTAAGCAAAGAACCATTCAAACCTTTTGCAATTTGGGTGTTGTTTCAACCGAGAACGTCTGCGCCCTGGGTTGTCCTTCAGCTAATAAAGCACTCACCACCACATTTTCTCTGTTATGGTATCTAGAGTTGATTTTAAAAAAAATAGCTTTTAAACTTTATTTAATCAAAACTTCATCCTACAAAAATAATTTTTAAAAATTAAGCAAAGACTCAACAGGAAGCTATACCGCAGGAGACAATCTTCTTATCAAATTCTCTTTCACCGACATAAGTCAGTCAGAGTATGGAAAAAGTGAGTTCAGAGAAACCTAGATCAGCGGTCGAAGATACTACAGTACAGAACCCGTTATCCGGAAATCAGAAAACCGGAAAACCAAAAAACCGGAACGAAATTCGATAAATTTTTGCACCATTTTTAAAAAAAAAAAAATATTTCCCTCATAATATTTTAGGTTTTTTTTTCTTTTTTGAAAGATGTTTACCTTACCATCATTTTGGAAATAATCATTAGGGCGCTTTTTCATTACACGACACGATACCGACAAAATCGGACGACAAATGTGTGAACGACAATGTCGTTGCCGGATCGTTTAAGCAATTGTTTTTTCACTTGTCCGATATCGTTAGTCCGAGAAGTAGAAATTCTTGTTCATTCAATGTTTTGAGCTTGAGTGTGTAGAGACATAAAATTTAAATAATTTATTTGAACGTGTTTTGAAAAATTATAAGTTTTAGTTTTGAATTCGTTTTGGCAACGGAGTTAGATATATAATAAATGTTGTTGTGTTCTAAAATGTTTAAGAAATAAAATATGTTATTTTTTTGATAAAATTATTGGTAGTATCGTAAATTGGCGTTCATTTAATTTAGTTGGCACAAAGACCCAACAAGTGAGCAGTTGCTTGTGTTCTGCTGTGATTTTTTTCTGCAAACTTTAAATATGCCGGATGATAATCGTCGTCTCAAACTTCTTACTTTATTTTAGAAGAAAAAAGCTAGCAGTGCAGAAACGTTTTTGGGTGCACGAAATGGTACTTACGTATTAACGCCACAGCAGCTACAGATTTGGCGGTTTTTAAGTGCCGCCAATCTACACTTAAAATTATGTCTGTAATCACTTAACATTACTTAAATTCTTTAAATGTTTTAAAGTATTAACGTTTTTTTCAAATCGAATTAAAATATTAGTTTCATTTAGAATAATCTTTTTAGATGATTTTTTAAATGAGTTTTATCAAATTTATCTTATGAAGCCGTTCTATCATGTTTCAAAAAAATGTTTCAGTTGAATCAGGGAACAGACTTTATATTATTCAATCAAGCAGAAACCAGTAGTTAGATCGAGTTCTGTTTGAAATACATAAGGGTCTTTATTTGCCTTCTTATCAAACCATTACTATTATAAAAAATACCATCCCTTCATTAAAGCATATAATGAATTTATAAAAATTTTCAATGAAACTTTTATGATTGTTTACGTCTTTCAACCTCATTATAATGTAAAAAATGCAACTTCATGAAATTAAAAATTTATAACCAGACATGAGAATAAATTATATAAAACTTTTATTTTCGAATTTTACATTTGACATGATCTAATAAAATATTAAAATTGATTAAAAGAATAAAATAATGATATCAAAAGAGGAGATAAAACAGGAAAGATACACAACAACTAATAAAATCGCCACGATTTGAGGAGAAATTTGCTTGCCTAACCGACATTTGATTCCGACAAACGATATCGCCTTGTCGGATACGACATAATCGTTATCGTATCGGTGAGTGAAAAAGCGCTCCGTTGCTGACCATGTATTTTACTTGACCCTATGTCGTTCGCCGATAATCGGATCCGTTTTGTCGTTATCGTGTCGTGTAATGAAAAAGCGCCCTTAGTGTATTCCTTCACCGTTTTTTCTTCCTTTTAAGATTATTTCCAAAAAAACATTTTTTTTTTGTTGGGTTTAACAATAAACAAACTGCTTTTTGTAGCGATTCAGAAAACCGGAAAAATCAGTTATCCGCAATAGCGATGGTCAAGATCGTTCCGTATAATCGGTTCCCTACTGTACATTATTTTTATAGTTTACTACACTTAAAACTACTTTGTTTGTAATGTAGTTAGCTACAACTACCTTTTTTTAATGTGGCGACTGCGAACTTCTTTGGAATCGTTCCGGATAATCGGTTCCCTACTGTACATTACTTTTGTAGTTTACTACATTTAAAACTACTTTGTTTGTAATGTAGTTAGCTACAACTACCTTTTTTTTAATGTGGCGACTGCGAACTTCCTTGGAATTGTAGTGACTACTTTGCTCATTTAAGGAATTGAACTCTGCTGCAGAACGTAATTTTTGCCTGTATAATTTACAATGTTGGAGAAATTAATTTATACATTATGTTCAAAATGGTTTTGAATAAGAAATTGGCTTACATTAAATGTGAAGAATTGTTTAGAAACATCAACCTTTTATGCCGTTCTAGTCAGCGAATATTTAATGTTAATCATCAAATACTTGCAATTCCTTTGAAATAACATCACCGTTTTACGAGTGCACATTCGTATGTGAAAGTGTGACCAAAATGACAAATTATTTATTATTCATAATGGCTAGCTTAAATACTAGTTTCACGTGATTCTAAATACGCAATTCTTGTTAATTCACAGTCACAGGGGCATTTTTTAAAAAAAACGTCCTTTGACAGACCTGCGAAGATTTGAAACCCATCAGATTCGAAAAATGAGTTGTGTTAGAATCATGTTTGTATACTAAACTAACGTAAATAGTTGCCAGGAATTGCTAAAAACTATTTTTTTTTGCTTTTTGTATTTCGATACTCACTACACTACTTTAAAAAAGTAGCACACTATACTATAAACTACGAAAAAAAGTAGAGACTACAGTAGTTTTACTATTTGTGTGTTTGACCACTGATCTAGATGCTTCAAATGCTGAAATTTTTTCTTCTTCAAAACATTCAAATGCTAGCAAATTGTAGTCGAATTAAACAGTGGAAAATTAATAATGCCATCATTTGAGTAAATTTTGTTATTTTCAAAACATTCTTTCAGCACTTGAAACTTCATGTCTTACTTTAAGTTTACTTGAAATCACTTTTTCTATACTGAAAATTTTTAAATAAAAATGAAAGTGAACTTGCCATGAGAAGTTCCTTCCTTGGCATAGCATCCTCTTAAACAATTAAAAAAATTTTTTGAATATGAAACTTACAAATCAAGCATCAGAATACTAATAGTTTTGATTCAGATTAAGCAGAAAAATTTGAATCTAAGTTTTCAGAAACTTTTTCAGCAACGTATAATACAAAAGGGATTTCAAAAATAAAGAGATAGAAAGAAAGAAAATATTAAGGAAATAAAACTTATGCTATATGGCATTAAACAGTAAAAAACAATAAATAAATAATAATAAGTAGGTTAAATAAATAGACAAGAAATGATTTAGCTACATACACTGGTGGACAAAATTAAGAGACGGAAGACATTTTCCCAAATATCTCAAAAAATACTGAATATAAATAAATGAAATTTGGTATGGATATAGCTTATTCCATGATAATAAAGTATGCAAAACAAAAATGAAAGTGCCATTCACTGGCAAGACCTATTGCCAATAAATCCAATGTAGTCTGAACTTAAGGATAAAAGATGACAATAAAAGTGAGGCTTGTACAGTGTGTGTTGCCTCTAGTATGGTGTATGGTCACCCCTGACAGACAGACAGCATGCACAACGAGTATGCATGCTGTTAATAAGGGAGTTAAGGAGGACTTGTGGAAGACCCTCTCATTCTTCCACCAGAGCAATTTTTAACTCCAGAATGGTTCTGGGGGGAGGTTGGTGCATTGCAATAGCTCTCCCAAGAGCAGCCCAAGCATGTTCAATAGGATTCAGGTCAGGGGATAAGGCTGGCCAATCCATTTTTTGAATATCCTCGCGTTCCAGATACTCATCAACCATGAGAGCCCTATGTGGTCGCACATTGTTGTCCTTAAAAATGAACTCAGGGCCAACAGCACCTCTGAAAAGACGCACATAGGGCTCTAGGACCTCCTGCCTGTACCTCTGGGCATTCACGGAACCATTGTCAAACACATGGAACGGTGGGCGGGTATCTTGCATGATCCCTGCCCAAACCATGAGTCCTCCAACAGCATAATGTTCCCTTTCGATAATGTTGCTGGGATGGTATCGAGTTCCAGGTTCCCTCCATATCAATAACCGTCCAGAATCAGGTTGTAGACTGAATCTGGACTCATCGGTGAAGAGAACATTAGCCCATTGCTGTGTCCAATTCTGATGTTGTCTGCACCATTCTGCACACCCTCTTTTGTGGGAGTGAGTGAGTGGGATGCAAATAACGGACATCCTGGCATACAGCCCTCGTTCATGGAGTCTCCTGAAAATTGTCTTACTCGAAATTGATGTTCCTGTGGCAGCCCCGAGGCCCCTAGACAATTGAATGGCTGTAGCCGTCCTTTGGCGCTTAGCTGAAAGGAACAAATACTGATCTTCATTGGCCGTTGTAGCCCTCGGGCGACCTTGTCCTGGTTGTCTGCATACTGTCCCACTAGTTTTAAATTAACTCCACAAATTGGAAATAACACTTGGTGTTATATCCAATTCCCTAGCAATCTGAGCTTGGGACTGGCCTATCTCAAGTCTATCCACAATTCTCCACCTCATACCTTCGTCTGAACGACGATGTTCACCCATTTTACCTAAAAAGCAGCAAGAAACAATAAGATTATTCCAAAAATGCACTAAAATCTGCAACTGTGTTGAAGAGTGGAATGAGAAGAACAGCTCGATGCGGACTTTTATACCTCCTGCTGGCTTAGCAACGCCCACAATACTACGTAAACTTATGCCAGGGCCAATAGCGCTACAGTGACCATATATGGCAATCAACTGTCCAGGTTTTGTGCGGTATTTTTAGAAAAATGTGTGAAAATGCTTTCCATCTCTTCATTTTGTCCACCAGTGTATAATGAGAAAAATTTTTTTCCATTCAACTTTAGTTTTGGGTTTATCTAATCAATTTTAATTTTATTCAACATTATACAGTTGTATCACAGCTTATATAAATATATACATATATAAGTTAAAAATATTTATAATTATATACAATACCAACCAAAAGTTTAGACTCACTCTTGAATTTGTAAAAATGAACAAACAACAAGATTTTTAAACTGAAAATCAAAACAAATTAACCTTATTTTGACAAATACAGGTACACTTATGCAGTAAAAACTATAATTTTATGTATAACTTACGAATTTCATTCAATCTTGGATTCTTCAAAATATACTCTTTTAGCCTTAATCAAAGCAGTGCATAGTTTTTGGTATTCTTTTTATCAGTTTTTGCAATGATCCAGTTGAGATCTGGTTCCAGCAAACTAAGTAAAGATTCCCAAAGTGTGTTTTGATTAGTACTTCACATTTTCCTAACATTTCTATCGATTTCATCTCACAATAGCTCAACAGGATTAATATCAGGGGATTGAGGGGGCCAATCCATGCATTTGAGAACTTTTTTCTTTTCTTTTGATAAAATGTAGTTTCTACACAATTTCAATGTTTTGGATCGTTATCTTGCTGAAAAATAAATCCGTGACCAATGATTATCTGTCCACATGGAAAAGCGTAACGCTGCAATATTCTGTGATATTTTTTATCCATAATTCCTTCAATTCTTACAAAATCCCCAACTTTGTCACCGGCAAAACATCCCCAAACCACGACTGAACCTCCACCATGCTTCACAGTTGATAGCAAACATTGACTTTTCATACGTTCACCAACTGTACAATGAACATACTGCCTTCGTTTGCTTCCAAGCAACTCAAATTTTGATTCCTCAGTAAATAAAAAATTAGACAACTATTCTTAAGACCAGTTAACATGATTTTTAGCATATTGCAGTCGTTTAACTATGTCTCGTTTTTTCAAAAGAGGTTATCTAGCAGCTACACAACCTTTTAAACTATAGTCACAAAGTCGACATTGTACAGTAGTTACTGACACAGTTATCTGCCATCTTACTGAACATCTGCCTGAAAACTTACTTTGAATGCAGATAAACTTATCATCATATTTGGACGTTATTCTAGGTCTCCTTGATCGTTGTCAGCTCTTATTTTGGCCAGTTTCTTTCTTCCTCTGCAAAGTTCTGAGAAAAACTAGGTCTGGGAAAAACTAGTTTTAGAGGCAATTTGTCTACTAGAATGCCTTCTTCATGAAGCACAATAATAACTGCATATGTTTTGACACTTATTTCTAGTTTTTGACCCATACTTCTGTAATAAATTATTTTAAAAAATTTAAACTTTTTTTTTTAATATGTACCAGTTATTCTGGCAAAATAAGGCTATTATATCAGTATTTTAATATCATCTCAATTCAGGTCACACAGGATTGGGGCAAGATATACTGCACAAGAATTCCAATTAATGCTATCAAAGTAATCTGAAAATTTGAAAGTAAAAAGAGAGCCACGGAGTTGAACATTAGTGTCATAAACCAAAAAATAGGTAGACTGTTCAAGTACAATGAAAAATACTATAATGAAGAGCAGTAGGGACTCAGGGGATAGAGCGCTCGCTTCCTAACTTGGTGAACCAGGTTCAATCCCAGTAATGGATGGGATCTGAATTCCGCTCCCGGCTCACACCGACCACAGTGCTGACTTAAAATATCCTCAGTGGTAGACGGATCATGGGTTAGAGGGTTTCGTGATTTTCCTCACCAGGTAACAGAAATGTGGGTGAGTTTATTTAAAAAAGTACTCCACAAAGGCAAATTTCACCCAGTACTTGATCCAGGAGTTCCCTTGTCTTCTGGATTGGGTTCAAAATTGCAAGGCTACGCAGTTGAACACAGTAGTCGTAAACCCAAAATTGGGTCGGTTGTTCAACGACAGTTGTAAAATAAAAAAATATTATAATGAGCCATTATTTTAGATATGCAAGACATTAAATTCAAAGGAAATTTTTTTGTAGAGTAAATGAGAACTCACTGTTTCAGAAGCTTCCATATATGTCCTTCATCAACTGTTGGAAATTGCACACACAGTTTCATCAAGATCTGCTCATCTACCTCAACAGAGTTTTCTTGCTAAAGTATTAAAATAAGCAATCAATCAATACCAGACATGATAGTGGATATACAATAACTGGAGAAGGAGAATTAACTTTGAACTGTACAAGATTTAAAAACAGCCAGATATTATCAAATACATAAATATAAATAGAATGATTTGGATGGCCTATGTGATTCAAATGAGTGATGACAATACAATAAAAAATATATTGCTAGTTAGACTCGCTGGAACAAGAAAGCAGGAAAGGCTGCAATTGAGATAGGCTGATTCAGGGATGTCTGATTTCCTTGCAATTAATGAAAAGAATTGAAGATCAAAGAATGAATCAGAAGCTATTGTGGAGAAATCTTCAGAGAAAGGCATTGACCCACATTGGGCTGTCTGGATAACTGTGATGATTCCTTGAAGTTCAAAGATGTCACGGGTTTTAGGCCTTCTATCATTTACTTTCTAATATTTCAAAAAAAAAAGTTTCTAACACTGAACGATAACTTTTTCAGCATTTACTTTTCTGATTCAAAACATTGCAGTTGCGCTGACTATGCTATATAATATATGTAGGGTAATGTATGGATTCAATCTGTTGAAGATATATTTTATAGTGTGAAACCATGCTCCCCTGAACTCAATTTCAGTTTATCCATCCCAAGCCCAATGATCACAATTAACATCACTATATATATATATTACTGTGAATGACCAAAATCAAAAGAATGTAGACTTTCACTAGTGAATGTCAACAATCACAAAGTTCCTTTGTTGAATGTCTGAAATATTTATTATATCCGATTTAATATTAATTTATTCATTGATATTATACTATTTATTTCATATTTTAATATCCGCTGAGGATAGATTAAGAGAATCATCAGTGTTTAAAGAACCGGCTAAATGCAATCCAATTAAATGCATGAATACCTGGCAGTGGCATAACCTTAAAAAACATTGATGAAGGGCATATTGGGCAAACTGTATACTGGGGAGTGACACTTAACTAACTAGACCTAGTATATATTTCTGACATTTACCAAAGTGACTATGTGATTGTTAACATTCACCAGTGGAAGTTAACAACCAACAATTTTGACTTAGCTCCTTAGTTAGAAATAATATTTGCTTTTTCCCCCCTCCAAATTGACAAAGTGGAATTAATAGAAAAACAACCACTCACCTTAAATCGATACGGTGTTTTAGGACTTCCATAATTTGGAGAATACCCTCCCTGAAATTTTTTTTATTGAATTATAAATCACATCATACTAAAACAAACTAAAAAGATGACCTAAATATCTATAATACATATTAAAAGCCAATAAAAAAAATCAATTAACATACAAGAAATACATAGAACCTAGAAAATCTTTAATATTTTTTTGTAACCTTTTCATTTATAAAATTTTCAAACTAATAGAAAAAAAATTATCATTCAAATTTTATGCACAAATATCCAAGTTGCTTGATTTTTATAAAAAATATCTTTGCACTAACTTTAGGATTATTTTTACATAATTTTATTTTACTAGCTTTTACTTAAGAAGGGTCTTCAATTCATTTAGAAAACTGATGACCAGTTAACCCTGATAATGTATTGCTAAAATTTCAAACATCAGTTTTTGCGCAATGAATGAAATTTAAAGACTGTGAATTTGCAGAGTAAGTTGAACAAGCAGCACAGGAAATGCAGAATTAACAAACAGCAGATAACAATAAGATAGAATGATGCTGTTAACACTTTTAGTAAGCAGAAATATTAATGGCATTTAATAACAGTTTATTTAGAAGAGGGAAGATTATCTAACTTAAAAAAGAAAAAGAAAGGAACCATACTAAATTTTTCATACCACATCTCTGCAATTCAATTCTTTGGAAGATTTAAATAGCAGAGAAGTGTCAATTTAATTCTTTGGATTTCTTAATCTATTTCTTACAAATTATAAGAATAGATTTTTAAAATTATTTTTATGATATTTCCTTAAATTCAAGAAAATGTTCAAAAATTATATATATAGAATATTATTATACTGCCACGTTTTTTAGAATACTATGGTAATAATTCAATGAAACAAAAAATTTAATGAAACTAGATCTTAATAAATTTCAGAAACATTAGTTCTGGATTAAGAAATGTTTTACTTAAAAATACCCCTTTCTGGAAAGTTTACTTTAATAATAAATTACTTTTTATTTAATTGCATGACTTGTTAATTTGTTTTTACCTTTAAGGATGAATCCAAAGTATTAATAATTAAATTTGTAGAGTAAGAATACTAAAAATATTTGATGCAGTATATTCAACATTTAACCAAGCTATTAAGCAAAAGAAATTTGCATGCTTGTTAAAAACTCAGAAATGAAATATTACTTTGTCCAAAATTTTAAGCATTTGTCAGTTTCTATGGAAGTAATTTAAGAAAACTTTGTAGTCGATGCATGTGAAATTTATATGTGTCTTAAGAAAACAATAATTTATTATTTTTAAAGAAAACCTAGCTTTTGCAAAAGACAAATTTAGAAAATTAAAAAAAAACTCCTTTTTTAGAAAGCTATATAATATAATAAACAGTGTGCATAGCCAGATTTTTCAACAAAAAATAAGCACCTTTAAAGCACTCAAAAAACGCTTTTAATTTTTTTCCAAAAAAAATATATATATATATAATTATGATCTGTGCGGTAATAAAAATTTTTTATTCTATCTTTAAAAGTTCTTAATTTATAAACATAAAACCAATAAAATTCAAAAACATTTTCCAAAACTTTACATAATCATGATAAAATAACTAGTTTCTGATAAATATAACAGATAAAATTGTGAAAATCATGCATTTTTTGTAATTTAGAACGACAATCGACATGGCAAAGAAAAACACAATCTTTTTTAAAAAAATAGAAAATCAAGCACACTTTACAAACCCCGAATAAAAAAAAGTACCTTTGGGGGTTTTTAAAAAAAGCGTAAATCAAAAATAAGCACCTTTAAGCACTTTGCAAAAACGCTATGCACCCTGATAAATAAAGCTACAAGTAATTACACTAATTATTGCAACTATATTTTAATAACTCCAAACATCAAAGCATGAGAACTAGGCTCTTCATTTTAAATTTATACTTTCAAGCTAATTATAATTTACTGTTAGAACCTGTTAAATAAAAAACAAACTACAATTACAGAAGTATAAATAGAAAGTATACTGCACCTGAGAATATTGACGAGGAGTGTAATAATTGCTTCCAACGCCCTATAGAAAGAGTGAGGAAAAAAGCAAAGCTTTATAAAGCAGAAAGCAAAGCAAGCTTAACTCATGCACACTATGGATGGTTGACCGTGTAAAGCTAAGCACAGATGGCGCTAGGGGTTCAAATTAATCGTAAGACTTTCGGGTTACTCCCTCAAATTGATTTTTACACCTAAGCTTGAAAAAGCGCACCATCCAATATTATTATACTTATAGTGTTTGCAATATAACTAGTTCTTTCAATTTAGATTTCAACAAAACAAAAAACAAATGTACTCGGAAATCTCCGCAAGCATGCTATGTGGCAACCCAAAAAATTACAAACAGTCAAATTTTACACAACTAAAGCCAAATAAGGGATAACACTCGAAACATGGCAAACCTTACACTTCATTAATGCTTTGTTATTAATTTTCTTAAATTTGTCTCAGGCTTACAATCAGTTAGAATTTGTAAATTACAAGGAACTCTCATAAATGGAAAAAAATTAAGCTTGAATTTAAACATACAGCACATTAACAAAACTTCCTAGAATATAAAGCCTGTTTACACATTGCCTCACTAGCTTAATATAAGAGGAGGGATGCACCGGAAGTTTTCTAAATTTTTTTTGGTTTTAGGAAGTTTGTTATTGTTTATATTCAGTCAACCATCCATGGAGAGATAATATGGAGAAAAAAATTTCTACAACCTTAATAAGTTGTTAAATCAAATTGCAATTTCATTTAAGATAAAACATTTAAGCAAATCTAGCAGGTTTTAATTTGCACAATAATAAGGTTCAAAACCATATGAAGGTTATGAAGAATTCGCCCAATATTATAGTTTAACATTATCTAAAACTTTTGATTGTGTACCTCTTAGAGGTAAAAGAGGAATTAGTTTGCAAAGTGTTAGAATAGTTTTTGAATATAGTCGTAAGGTAACAAAATTTACAACCACAAGAAATCTTTGGGGAAAAAAAGAAGAAAAAAAAAAGACATACCGATTAAAAAATTGTCTGCTAAATTTTTTCTCGTTTTAGCTTGTTATTGTTTGCAAACAGTCAATTATCCATATAATTAGAAATATTAATTTTAAAATGCAAATATTAATTTACATCCTTATTTAAAATATTTATGACAAAGTACAGAATAAGACAAGCAATTTTTAAATAATTCAAAAACAAAATCCTTAACTTTTAAAACAGTTCACTAACTGTTATCAAAATAATTTTTATTCATTTTCAATTTTTTAAAAAGTTTGATTTTGAAACTCAGTCCAACAAAAGCTTAAAATATAATAAAGAGCTTAAAATGTAATGAAATAAAACATACATTTTAAAAAAATATTAGGATCCTAGACTATAGAAAAGATTTTAAGCACATACTTATGTTGAACACAAAAATCAGGAAAAAAATACCATCAGTTAGAAGAAAATACTATCAATTAAAGTAAAGAAGATCATAGATTCCAGAGCTTTTTTGACTCACTGCCAACTATGCAAGGCAAAGTTCTTGCAAACCCCCCCCCCTCAACAAAGATTTTTACCATGTTTATTAAACAACTTATCAAAAAAAAAATATTCTTTTTTACATTCATTGTATGGTATACACTTCGAAACAATAATTGAAAGTTCCTACTAGCCAATGGTTTAATGTTAAAAAATTTTTGTAGTATTTTTTTTTTATAAAACTAGGCCTTTTGTTTAAAAAAATAAATAAATTTTAAAAAAAACTCTCGCCGCAAGCTAAGTAGAGCGTAAAGTAACTTTAAAGCAAATTATATTAAAAATCCGAAGCTATTGTCATTGTTCATAATAAAAAAAAAACATCAAAACAATTTGCAAAAAAATTCAGAAAGAATTGTTTGAATTGTGAAAAGAAAGAAGGAAAAGCCATCTCAGACTTACGAGCGTCAAAAATTTTCATGTGGAACAGCAAGCAAAGTGCTATTTTCACAAAAAAATTGGTTGGTAATATTTTTCTCAATAAATTGCTGAATTAATAAGTGCTTCAATAACACGTAATTTAATAACATGTAAGTCGAGTTAAATATGTATAGGTACTTCAGGGCAAAATAAATATTAATTTTTAAATGTACTTAATTTTTTTTCTATGTGTATTCTAGAAAATCCTATCACCGTCTTAGAAAGTCTTCAATGCCCTCAAAGAGGCAATAGCATCCATGCTGGGAACCTATTCTTTAGAATCAAAAATTTGTTTTGAAACTATGTAATATAATTCTTTTATCTTGACATATCATTATATATATATATTTATATTGTTAATCTTTCAGAATAAATCCTTCAATACTTTATAAGAAATACAGTTTAAAAAAAAAGCACAAATTTATACTAACAGATGATGAAAGTTCTTCATCAATGTATCTCACATTTGTCATTTGATTGTTGGTGGGGGGTGAGCTAGGAGGAGGTGGTGGAGGAGGAGAAGTAAGCGTAATAGAGTAGCTACCAGAACCATAGAATGGAGGATAGGCCTATGAAAACAGAAAATGAATTGAGAAATTAAATGAACAAAATTGTGGCATAAAATTTCAATTAGATTAATCAATAATTTAGAACATGAGGAACTATAATGAAATTACAATGGAATATCATTATATTGTACCTCATTATAGCATGCATTTCTATATATAGCTTTTTTTTATACTTTGACAAGATTAATATAACCAATACTGTATTACCACAATGATTAACTCACTAATTATCATTCAAAACAGTGTTTCACATGAATGTGTAAATTGATTCAACAAAGTTCTCAGAAATTCAACACATAAATTAAATAAAATCAGGCGAATAACTGAGGCTAAAATACTTTATATGTTTAATATGTTTTTCTTGCTTTGTTTTACTTTTTGTAAAATGAGGAAGAATTTTAAAATTAAAATCATTTCGTAGTTAATAATATATAAATTGCATTCACATCTAATATAATTCCGGAATAGTTACAAAAACTTTTCTTTTTTTTTATTAATAAAATTGTGTCCAGAACTCAAAATACTTTAATCTTTGAAATCCTTGAAATTGATCAATTTTACGGACTTGCAAATTCTTCATCGATAGTTCCAATCTTTTTCAATATTCACCTTCATGCATTTTAAATTAATTTCATGAAAAGCTTTTTGAAAGTGAGGGCAATAGTCCAGCTGATGTTAACTTCTTCAAAAATTAACAGGTATCTCAAATTCAAAGCACAAGCTAATAAAATCATTCTACATTTATTCTGAAATGCTATCATAATAAACTTTGTTCTTCTTGATTAACTTTTACTGTAAGAGTGTATTTTATTAACTAATAATCAAAGTTTTATTTTCAATAAAATAAAGCCATAAATACTTAGGAAAGATAGTCCTCATCATTAACTTTTCAGTGGATAACATTTCGTTACTTGAATTTTTCTCCTCGCTTGAGACACTAGGGCATAAATTTAATTTCCATAACGCTAAAATTCTATATCAAAATTTAAAATTCAATAGCCACCCATAAGCATTTACCCTTAAGTTTTGGAATCTTGTTTCATTGATACAAAAGCCAATTTCTTAGCTAATGTCAATTTTTCACATATTTTCCATTACGTTTGGAAATGTATCTGGATTGATTTGACAGCCCTATCTTTTTCCTTGGCTACAGTGAATTTTTCTAGTTCAGTTTTTTTCATTATTTTCTTTCCAATTTTTTGGCCATATTGCAATTCTTTTTTCTAATTTGTTATGTAAGTGAATCTTGATAATGAGCACTTATTTTTAGTGCTTATAACTTGTTGACTTTTGATAAGCATATGTGTCCACTTCAGTTTCAATATCTCATGAACATTCTTTAAAACAAAAACAAAAAAAAGAATTAATTTGTAACAATTGTAAACTTTATTTAAAAAATTTTCAATTTGCAATGCATTTTGCTTCGTAAAAAATTTGCAAATTGAAAATTTGCATTACTTTTCACCATTCGTCAGCAAATGTGGCAACCAACTTGAAGAAAATTTTTTAAATATAATTAATTTTATTCAGTTATTTAATATCCCTAACCATTTAATCATTTCCTGCATCAAAATATTTAATGAGGTATTGATAAATCTTAATTCTAAATATATTAGAGTTCTAAATATATTAATACTACATCTATTTTCTAAATATATTAGAGTTCAAAGCTTCACTGACCAGGGCAATAAAGCATTATTTGTGTTCATGTAGCAATTTCACTTTTATAACATTGTTTTATTTTTGAATAAATTGCTAATAATTGAACTTATTTCATAAACAAACTTAAAATGCTTACACTGAAAATAAATTATATGTTGATTATATTATTACTAGAANAATACAGTTTAAAAAAAAAGCACAAATTTATACTAACAGATGATGAAAGTTCTTCATCAATGTATCTCACATTTGTCATTTGATTGTTGGTGGGGGGTGAGCTAGGAGGAGGTGGTGGAGGAGGAGAAGTAAGCGTAATAGAGTAACTACCAGAACCATAGAATGGAGGATAGGCCTATGAAAACAGAAAATGAATTGAGAAATTAAATGGACAAAATTGTGGCATAAAACTTCAAATCGATTAATCAATAATTTAGAACATGAACTACTATAATGGAATTACAATGGAACATCATTATATTGTACCTCATTATAGCATGCATTTGTATATATAGCTTTTTTTAATACTTTGACAAGATTAATATAACCAATACTGTATTACCACAATGATTAACTCACTAATTGTCATTCAAAACAGTGTTTCATATGAATGTGTAAATTGATTCAACAAAGTCCTCAGAAATTCAATACCTAAATTAAATAAAATCAGGCGAATAACTTAGGCTAAAATAATACTTTATATATATATATATGTTTTTCTTGCTATGCTTTTCTTTTTGTAAAATGAGGAAGAATTTTAAAATTAAAATCATTTCGTAGTTAATAATATATAAATTGCATTCACATCAAATACAAATCCGGAATAGTTACAAAAACTTTTCCTTTCTTTTATTAGTAAAATTGCGTCCAGAACTCAAAATACTTCAATCTTTGAAATCCTTAAATTATTATCAATTTTACGGACTTGCAAATTCTTCATCAATAGTTCCAATATTTTTCAATACTCACCTTCATGCATTTTAAATTAATTTCATGAAAAGCTTTTTGAAAATGAGCGCAATAGTCCAGCTGATGTTAACTTCTTCAAAAATTAACAGGTATCTCAAATTCAAAGCATAAGCTAATAAAATCATTCTACATTTATTCTAAAATGCTATCATAATAAACTTTGTTTTTCTTGATTAACTTTTACTGTAAGAGTGTATTTTATTAACTAATAATCAAAGCTCTATTTTCAATAAAATAAGGCCATAAATACTTAGAAAAGATAGTCCTCATCATTAACTTTTCAGCGGATAACATTTATTTTCGATACTTGACTTTTTCTCCTCGCTTGAGACACTAGAGCATAAATTTAATTTCCATAACGCTAAAATTCTATATCAAAATTTAAAATTCAATAAGCATTTACCCTTAAGTTTTGGAATCTTGTTTCATTGATACAAAAGCCAATTTCTTAGCGAATGTCAATTTTTCACATACTTTCCATTACGTTTGGAAATGTATCTGGATTGATTTGACAGCCTTTCCTTGGCTACAGTGAATTTTTCTAGTTCAGTTTTTTTCATTATTTTCCTTCCAATTTTTTGGCCATATTGCAATTCTTTTTTCTAATTTGTTATGTAAGTGAATATTGATAATGAGCACTTATAGTGCTTAAAACTTGTTGACTTTTGATAAGCATATGTGTCCACTTCAGTTTCAATATCTCATGAACATTCTTTAAAACAAAAACAAAAAAAAGAATTAATTTGTAACAATTGTAAACTTTATTTGAAAATTTTTCAATTTGCTTTGCAAATGCAATTTGCAATGCATTTTGCTTTGTAAAAAATTCGTAAATTGAAAATTTGCATTACTTTTCACCATTTGTCAGCAAATGTGGCAACCAACTTGAAGAAAAATTTCAACTATCATTAATTTTATTCAGTTATTTAATATCCCTAACCATTTAATCATTTCCTGCATCAAAATATTTAATGAGATATTGATAAATCTTAATTTTTTTCTAAGTATATTAGAGTTCAAAGCTTCACTGACCAGGGCAATAAAGCATTATCTGTGTTCATGTAGCAATTTCAAGTTCACTTTTATAACATTGTTTTATTTTTGAATAAATAGCTAATAATTGAACTTATTTCATAAACAAACTCAAAAATGTTTACACTGAAAATAAATTATATGTTGTAGAACATAATAATTCACAATTACTTGATCAATACATTTTTCATAAAATTTCCACATCAAATGTTAGTAATTGGATAAAAAATCAGCCAAAAGCACTTGTTAGAAAATAAATGAAAAATGTGTATAACGTATGACCTAGAAATGCAACTTTTAAAAAAAATAATAAAAAGTTAGAAAAAAAATTTTCTATATTACTAAAATGTCTATTAAACTAAAAAATGGCTTAAAATATGAGAATGACATAATTTAGATTAAAATTAAATAAAATGGTAGTGTTGATTTAAAGTTTATTTAGAGCATCTGATAGCGCAAAAATATTTACAAGCGTCATTGTTCAGAGTAAACGAAAGAAATCATCATTTTATTAAAACAATATTCAAAACAAAATAATGACAAGAAAACACTAAAATATGTCATTACTAAATTAAATTTCAGCATAAATTAATGATTCTAAAGATAGTTCAGTTTTAATACACTAAGTAAAAAAAAGTTATTTCAAATAAAAAGAGATAATTAAATGGAAATATTCTTTAGAACTAAGAAAAAAAATAATGGTTAATAGTATAATAAAATCATAGCTCATCTGAGACCTTCAGATTTAGAATGGTTGCACAACACATAGTAAAATAAGGACATGCATTCAAATCAATGGATATGGCTTTACAACCAACAATAAATATAAATAATATCTATAGTACTTGTCATGAATATAGTTTAAAAAATTTAATCACTAACTAAGGAACTCACATTATTACGAAAAATAAAAAAATACAAAGTGCTCTTTCAAGATCCTGTTTAATCTGTATTCTATAATGTTCTTTAATCATATAACACTTTTAAAAAAAATGGCCAATGAACAATACTGAAACATTTAAAAATATAGAAACGGAAAAATACTCCCATGCAATTGTCCAATAATACATATTATTAGCCAAATTAGTTCCAATTAAGTATAAGTAAACTAAATTAGAACTAAAAACATTCAAATTAAAATTTAAAGTATAGTATCTCCCTGATAAAAATTAGGAATTAGAACCACATAATAATTGCTATAAATCAATTTCAATTTTACACAATGATGAAATTTTAAATGATTTATTGTTACCTTTAAAATCTATTGGATTTTATATTTTAGATCTTTAAAATATTTTTCCTATATTAATACTTTTCTTTAGATCTTTGAAATATTATTC